TACAACTACTACTACTATTACTACTGTACTTCTATTACTTCTACTACTACTATTACTACTCTTACTACTACAACTACTACTGCTATTTCTACTTCTAATTCTTTTCAAAAATGGGAGGGGTGGAACAGTCTTGGACTTTCAAGGGGGGTGGGGGCAGGTGAGAGTTGTGCCTCACCCCATCAATCAGCCAGTACAGTGTTATATCTCTCCGTGTCTAGCAGATCTCCCAGGGTATTGCCTACCGGCTGAGCGCCGCGGCGGTGAGAAGGCAAGGCTTTGAGGTACTTGACCTCTGGTGAGAAGACGCATTGACCTTTGTGATAAAGCAAATGGATTGCACGCACTCCAACAATCGATAGCCGAAAGCAACCGTAAAACATTGTATCAAACACTGCCAAGATATGTCGTGTTTGAGGTTGCTTTTGACGACGTTGCAACAACTATTCCACGATCATTACTCTTTTGTTCTTTGATATAATTATCAACTCTCTCTCTCTCTCTCTCTCTCTTCCCTTCTCTCTGTATATCTCTTCCTCTGTTTCTGTCTGTCTTCTGTCTGTCTTTATATTTCTCTCTTTTTGTTTGTCCATTTTTTTCCTAACCAATATTTTCTTTAATCTGCATCTTTCACCCTCACATTATTCTGAATTTGTCAAACGTGCATTGAAAGTCCAAGTCGGTGCAATTTTAGAAGGTGATACATTACCACTTGTTTCCGATTGGCTTCGGAGAGAGAGAGAGGGGGGGGGGGACATATACAAGAGTAATGAAGAAAAGTGGGCACTTGGAAATTGATGACCGGTGAAAGAGAGACTGAGAGTGAGAGAGGAGAGAGAGAGAGAGAGAGAGAGAGTGAGAGAGTGTGTGTGTGAGAATGAGAGAGTGAGAGAGAGAGAGAGAGAGAGATGAGGAAATGAGGGTGGGCTGGGAAGGTGCGACACACGGCTTTTTAGCAATATTACAGACACGTAAGGGCAAGCATTATAGATATATTGACTGCTATGAGAGGCATCGCTGTCCGCCCCGGGGCGCCGAGGGGTTAAAGCAGGATGTAACGTGCCCGAGAGCAAGTATAGAAACAGCTATGTTTCGAATATTAAAGCAGTCCACAAATCTACAAAGAATTTTTACCTTATCCTTTTCTTGAGTAAAGACTAGTTGAAACATTACAGCAAATCTGAGACACTGTCTGTAAATCTCCGCTGGAAAATTGCCTGAATGTAACGATCAGGCGCGTACACAGGGTGGTGTTTTGGGGGTTAAACCCCCCCCCCCTTTGGTACTTTTATGTGTGTAAACCCCCCCCCTATTTTTTTTATTTTTTTTTTATTATTAAATAAAAAAAATTTAAAAAAAATTATTCCCATGGCTGACCTAAAAAGGTGACCTAATCCCCCCCCCCCCCAGTGGAGCGAAATGTCAAATTTTCAAATTTCGAGACCAAAAAAAAAAAAAAAGAGTGTCCTCTTACCCCCCCCCCCCCCCCCCCCCCCCCGCTTATTCAACGGCTGGCTGAGTCTTTGCGAAATTTTCGGCCCGATTTATAAACGTTAAACCCCCCCCCCCCTTGAAAAAATCCTGCGTACGCGCCTGGTAACGATTATTCGGGAATCGCAGACAAAGAGCTCTATATGGTATCCGCGCTCGCACAAAGAAACTGTGCACACGTAAACCAATGGGTATCTCAGCAAAGTTTATTTTTGCGGCCCCTTACCCGGGGCAATGGGCATCTTAAAGAAAGCTATTGACCGGTAGGCGGGCATGGCTAAAATCAAGACTCCAAGTTCGACCAATCACATGGCTAGATTTCTAAAGAGAGGTATATAACAAATGATAGTATTTTGTTCAAAGCCGCAGAATGTGATGGGAGGGATTAAGGCAAGACAGAAAATCAAAGAAGGTAATTATATGCATGATCTTGGATGCACTGGTCAATCCCTCTATTTGAAATATGATATTCCTTTTAGATAAAAAAAAAAAAAAAAACCTAAAGAGGAAAGGAGATTCCTGCTCATCTATTTCTATCCATTCTGAGCAGTCCTTACCTACACCTGATTATTTCAAACCACGAGATTCGAACCAATCATGTACTAAAGAACGATGGGTTGTTCGGAAAAGACGAATGCCTCATTTTCCCAAAGTATATTTACAAATATCCATTTCTTAAAGTTATACGTAAATGTGTTTTGAAGTGGGGATGATGTTTTTTGAATTTTCGACTACAGTTAAAAGAAAGCATGGAATCTGAAAATATGGAAATTATATAAACATTATGAAATATTTATCGGTATTTTACATCAAATTTAATCATCGCAGATTTGAATTAAAATAAGTTTGTGATTTCTACTACGGCATTCAAGATAAGTACATTCCTAACAAACTGCCACATCCTACGATAATCTTTTCACCAGTAATATGTGTTAATTAGATTTCGTGGAACAAGTCGTTATAAAATGTATGAAAATCGACGTTGATCTGTTCGATACAATGCAAGACATGTTCCTGAAAGCATATGGTGGTTTGTTAAAACCTTGCACACGGCATATATGTGAAATTAAAAGAATTGGAGAGTCGCTCTTTCAAAGGTTCTTGTTCTCTGATATAAGTGTATATTTGTGTTCACGAAATAAATGAAAGTGATTTTTAATCCAAATATAGAATGTGTTTAAATCGTGATAAACACGACAAGATGCATATGACTCCCGCAAGTTGGCGCTCTTGACTTTTTTCATGTAGGTACGATGGATTTCCATCATTCAAACTCCCAAACTCCTACATCAATGAGTTTGTTATATAGCTTTAAAGGTACTATGTCCCTTTTGCAGCCAACCTCAAATTCTGCGGAACTTTGCAGGAATTATGAATATGTCATGTACGTCCTATCTGTGAAATTTAAACGTTAGCAGTGTCCTCATATTCAAATTATGCAAGGAAACCCGTTTACTTGCTAGACTTCACTGTCAGACACTATTGAGTGACTGACTGGCTTTTTTCTTCTTTGGTAATAACATACATGAAAAGAGTTAAGGGGACATGAGCATTTGTCTACATCAATAACCCACTTCTGTGATGGCCAAGATTAAACTGATTGAATCTTTGCGCAGCATAAAACGTATGACCATTTGGTACGATTGTCTGAAAATCAAGACTATTACTTTTGGGCTCTATAGCCCTAAAGTCGATTTGACAACTAATAGTCGTTATTTTCCCACTTGAAGACATTTTCAAGCCCCACCTTTTTTAGGGAAGTTCTAAATTAGTATTATCTTTCGAATGCAGTTGGAATTTAACTTTTTCATTTTTTTGGCCTGCAAATGGGACATAGTACCTTTAAGCACTGCTTTTATCTAAAACAGTCCTCTTTACGTTCAACTCTCTAGCTCATCATCTCAGCCTTCATTTTGAAGTACAAAACATGAAAGCTTACAGCCTTCTAAACACACCATCTTTTATTGATTTTGCAAAGCTTCTCTTACAATTTAAAAGCAATGGTTTCTTAATATACGGGCATTGCATTACGCACAACAAGATAGGAGTAACGGTAACAAGCAATAACGATGTATTCGATAATGGCGACAATTTGGCTAACATATTATAACATACCATTTGCGATGATAACGACAATCCAATTAAAACTCATTCACAACCGATATTTCGGGAGCCAAAATTATTGAATGTGTTTCAACTCCATAAACTATTTTTTCCTTAGGATACGTGTACCTTATTTTTTCTACCAAAAATGACACATTTGTCATTGGCAGTTGTAAGTAGAAGCCCCTTGTAAAAAATAAAGCACTGTTTGTTTTGTTTGATTAATTTTATTTTTGCGTTCAAATAAGATAAACAAGGTTATACACTTTTACATAAGTATTACATACATAGCAAATCATGTCTAATAATATTATATAATAACCATAATACAAAGCATATAAACGAGTATAACGGATATATTTGTTTATATTTTTCATTTAACTAAAGAGATAAATTTCAGAACGCAGGAGACTGCCATCGTGAGCGGTTAGGATGGAAAGGGATGGCGGCCTCGTGAAAAAAATAGAAACAAAGATTTGGCAACAAAACTCTCTGGTAAAACCTAGTAATCAAGTGGGTGCAGTGCAATTGCATGTGCGGGTGCAGCAGACGGCAGTTGAGTAAAAATGAACATTAAATCATGGTTTCATACAAAGCTATTATACTAATTTAGAGCGTTTGGCACATATGATTGTATTATTTTTCGTTTAAGTGTGGCTTTCAAGGAATAGAGGGTTGAACAAGACTTGATGTTGTCAAGAAAATTATTCAAAATATCCGGACCACAATGTCTAATGGATTTGTGCGTTACTAATAATAATTTGGGGTTAGTTAGGTGGAAATTTCTAGATATGCGAGTGGGGTAAGCATGAACAGAACTATTCAAATTAACATGTTATCAAGGATGGTGGAAGTTGTTTATTGATATACTTGAACATGATAACTGCTATTTGAATAGTATTCTAATCATTTTTTGTTAGTGTTCTAAGTTTAAAGAATAAGGGGTCAGTGTGAGCCAAAGAATAAGGGGTCAGTGTGAGCCAAATAATGTGATCCTGTACAAATACGGATAGTTTTTGTTTTGTAATTTAAGAATAGAATTGATATAAGTCGAACTGCGATTTGCCCATACGATGTTGCAATAGAGTAGTGAAGTGTGACGTCATCAAAAATCTATTTTGGGAATTTCTCAATTTTGTCTTCATTTCCAGAAAGAGCATCAAAAATAATTTCAAAACGTCGAAAACCAATTGAATATGTTAAGTATGGGCTGAGATATGATCATCTGAATAAATAGATTTCCTATAGGAACTCGGCGTTATATTGCTCCGGTTCATAACATTACGAGTGATTAGAAGTTTTACTTAAAAGTTAACTTTAAAACTCGATGTAAACAGACCAAGCACGTGAAGCTCAATACACTAGTACACATAAATGCATACAGTTTATACACATGTGGGCAAAAATCTCGTTTCTGTTAAAATCAAATCAATATCTTTGGGTTGCTATTACCAAAAAACACCTCTGAAATAATGGTTTTATAATATATACAATTTTTCGAATGAGCAAGGTGTGCTTGGTTTGCGTGGTAGTGGTAGGCAAACTCCTCTTTCTGACTTTGGCCCCCGCTCATAAAGTCATTCTGTAAATTTTCTTGAACTTCAGAAAAATTATTAGAAAGATGACAGTATCGTCAGCATAGAGGGATATCTTGGAATTATTATGAAATTTTAAATTATTAATATCATTAAGATACAAACACAAAATCAAGGAGCCCAGAATTGACCCTTGTGGCACCCCAGATTTAAAAGTTAAATACAATAACAGTTTCAAACTTACATATGTATAGTCATAATGAGTGAATTTAGTGTATAGTCACATTTAGTTATATTTCTTGAAATTTAGACAAATTATTAGAATAAATAAAAATGACAGTATCGTCAGCATAGAGTGATATCTTGGAACTATTATGAAATTTTTAATTATTAATATCATTAATATACACACACAAAAATCAAGGGGCCAAGAATTGACCCTTGTGGCACCCCAGATTTAAAAGTTAGATACAAAAACAATTTCAAACTTACATACGTATAGTAATATTAAGTATATTTTCTATTAATGAAGAATATATCATAAAACGTAATAATTGATTGACTGTCCCCTTTGTTCACTTGACGGTCATACATTTCGATATCAAAACATGAAGTCGACCATTTTCATTATGAGATTCCCAAAATCAAATATTTCTATATTAGAAACTCCAATAGCTGGACAAATATTGTATGTTCAATTCATATAATAGAAGATTTAAGTAAATTTAGGACGACAATAATTTTCCCCATGACGTAAGTTATTTTAATCAATTCAAAGTATGTATACAGAGAAAATATATCATGTGTTACTTTGTACATAAGCTCTGTTATACAATATCTCTTTCAACATCCCATCCAGTGGGCGAGGTGATTACTATTTACATACCCAAGTGAAATGTGAAATATGCGGCAAATTAAAATCAAAATCGAATTGGAATGGTAAAAATGCCAATCAATCGCTGTTTTCTCTTCTCTTAAGGATGATATCATACTTTAGTGGAGAGTAAGCGATTCCCGCCTTGCCTTTCATTCCGACCGATCGACTGTCGTCTGCCAAACAAAACGTGAATCTCTGCAGAAGGCTTGTGAAGATTATGAACATTTGCATCCTCGCCAGCTTTTCGCCGAGACACGCACGCAGTCCTGTGTAATTAAAACATGTGTTTTACTCAGGAGATCTCTAATAATATGTCATATTCATGCAGTTTTTAAGATAATAAAATATACAACAAAACGACTAACGAAGTATTAAGACCGTACGTAGGTTTATTGAACAAGAGTACAGCGACCGAAAATGAGGAAATTGTAATACATTTAACACAAGAATAGAGTTAATACACCAGAGAAACTCTCTCGTAGTCTTAAAATACAAAGCTAAACAAAGGTTTTCGTCTTACATGGTCGTTTTACTCTTCCTTTCACAATACACATACCCGTTGAACACTGTCTACAATCATGACAATAAAGATGGTCATATTGACAAATAATGTGAATGTACATATCCACAAAAAAACCAATTGTACAACGAATGTACATTTCAACGGCAAAACGTTGAAATTATGATAAAATACTACAATATATGTTGCTACTTTTGTAATCAAATCATTTGTTCATTCAACATCACAATTTGTTTCTTTAGTGATGTTAGTTTAAATAGTATGGTTATATTTAGTTTTAAATTTCTTTTCTTTCGTTATTTATTTGTTTGTCTATTGCTTTTCGTGCTTTTTTTGTGTGTAGTTTTCAACAAAAGTATTTGATTTCGCCTTCGATTATAATAGACTATTCTAAGTTTGACTTAAATCATCGTGTGGTACATGCGTAAGATTTTGGAGTTGATTTGTCTTTAATTTCAATCTTTAACCATATTGTTATCTAGGCGAACACGGCTTAATGTGGAAAAACAGTTTTGTAACTGACAATGCTTCTATCTAAAATAAGACTAAAAACAAATAAATAAAATACTAAACAATTACAATGTGGGGGTATTTTTTTTCTATATGATATCTTCAAGAAATAAAGCTACACTTTCGCCTACCTATTCCGAATGGAATAAACGCAGGGTGGTCCACCACGCTTCGTCGATCTTCACTCAGAAAACGATACGGGTTGAATTCTTCAGGTTTGTCCCAGTTCTTCGGAGTGTTGAGTACCTCCCATAGGTTCATCAAAACAACTGTTTAAATAAAAATGTCATAATTCGTTGTTTGTATCGCTATCTTTTAACAATAGCTGGCGTCTCGCAATTGTCTCAGAAAATAAACGTGACAAATTATTACCTGCCTAAAGGCTCGTTCAGATATGCCGGAAGAAAACACGGTGCGGGTTTCTGTAACTTATAAAATATGAATGGCTACTGCGCGAAATCAACAAGCTTACACAGAGATCTTTGGCGAAAGAAACTACATATTAACTTAGCTCTGTGTTATAACAATACCTTGTTATAAGATACTGAACGCCATCATTTGAAAAACTCAGAACGAGGCTAGATATAAATACTAAATCAAACATTGTAGTATAATTGTATTGAGTTCATCGCCCTACTATAGCTTTTATCAGACCAAATATGAAATGAAAAGACAGATTTGATCGTGACGTACGGGACACCAAAATGATCAAATACCTTAGACTCTGACCCCTATTGTCATGCGAAATCTGTTATCAAAAACACAAATTATTCTTTACAATGGATTCAATAAATCTGACAACTAATCCAGCCCAGACAGTGGGATGTGTACACATGACTGCCCTCAGTTGAGCAAAGGGCTTGCATACAAATCAGTCGTGTCAATACCTCAGTCATATACCGATGAGAACGACACTAGACTGACAGCATTACCTCGAATGGAAAATAATTTGTCGGTTTGGAGTCGGTGTAGTGTCAGTTTGGCGGTGTGACTAAAGTACATCCATATAATTCGGGACACCGAGAAGACATGGAATAGACAAAACACTGGGATATTCATTATTTCTCTCATATGATTTATAGAATGACACAATATGGAAAAGTACATGTACATGACATTCTTTGCCAAATTGTGGTGGTAAAGTGGTTTATTCACTATGCCTATAAACTCTCAACCAAACGGGTGAGGGTTCAAATCTCAGCCCCACACTAACATTCCTTTGGCAAGACATTAATTCACACTTGCTACTGTAATTGGGTACCTGACAATCGCAGGAGTAATGATAATTGCGGGGCCTTCAGGAAGACTTCCCTGGGTAAACAACATTGTTATTACTATTATTATTATTATTATAATAATTCATTGTATACCAACCAGTGTCTTTCGGAATGTGGTATCCTTGTACCGTAGCATCTCGGCTTGTCAATCGCGGCAAGGCCAGAGGTGTTACTGGGCGGATTCGACTCACTTCCATGAGTGTTGCTACAATGAGAGGCAATGCATCTTGGTCAGCCATCTTTGGGGGTCGTTCTTCACCGATGACGTCATCGATTTCTTTCTGGATCTGAAATGATTCAACAGAAAAGAGATAAAACTGTAATCGGGCTTGATGTAGCACCAAACACATCAAAGGTAGTGCTAAATAGCCTTTGCATACACAGATTGCTATAAAAATGGAACAATAGTGCGTTAAGGAACTTTTGAGGCTTATCATAGCATTTCAATATCTAATAGGCCTACTACCATGCACACATAGTCATAACATGGCTACCAAAATATCAGATACTTTTTGTTAATAAAAGGTACAATATCCAATAGCCTTGCGCCATGTAACGACGTAATTATTACACCCCTATTGCTTTTGCACACACAGAGAGATTTTGTTTGACAAAGGACCGCGTCAGCGATTGGCCAGACTTAGTGTTTGACACCCATTAACAGAATGAAACGTTCAAATACAAAACATAAAAAAACAAAATTAAAAACACACAAACACAAAAGAGAACAAAGCAAAGCAAAGCACAATCAACAAAAAAAATGTCTACATTGTCTTGATTAGTGTAGGTTATAATCTAAATGGTGACAAGGGTGCAACATGCCGATGACGGTTCACGTTTTTGTATCAGTAACGGTGCGATTTATGTTAATGTTCTTCAATCAGTTTATCCAGGTGTTAAGAGAGGTTCACGCATGTATATCTAATCAACCTATATCTACTCAATTACTTCTTTCATTAACTGTGGATGCTGTGCCACGATGAGTATAGCCCATAGCAGAGAATCACTGGTAGTCACCATGCCGGCTAGAAAGAGTTCAACAACCAGCCTCCATTCCAGGTTCTCCTCTACAACACCAGGAATCTGTTGCTCCCGTTGCTGCTTAAGCTCGACCATGTAGAGGTCGATTATGTCTCGAACGTTAAGAGGGTCGAAGTTCTGTTGGTGCTGTTTGACCATTGATTTGATGTACGAGATGATATCTTGCATAGGGCGCCGAAAGCCGGTGTAGAGTGGGGTGTAATAGAGGAACGGGAAAACGTTACCGAGAGACGTCAGTGAGGTGTTCTCAGAGAGACGCTCGATGTCGCCGACGATCTTCACGAAATCGGGGTCACCATAATCGTAACGAGATCCAGTCACCAAACTGTGATGTTGAAGAGAGAGAGAGAGAGAGAGAGAAAGAGAGAGAGAGAAAGAGAGAGATAGAAAGACAAAGAGAGAGCGAGATAAAGAGAGAGAGAGATAAGGAGGGGGTAGAGATTAGGGTGGAGATGGGGAGATGAGGTAGGTAGTTAAAGCAAACTTCACATGAGCATGAGGAGGAATCAAACTTCAATTATTTTATTTATTCATACGAATAATGTCATGAACGAAATTCAAACTGGGTAGAAGGGGGTAGCTAGGAGGCTGAGAGAGAAGATAGTAACATAGCAAGAGAAAGAGAGAGAGAGAGAGAGAGAGAGAGAGAGAGAAAAATGACGAGAAAGAGCGGGCGGGACGGGGGGTAAAGCGATAAGCATTTCCATATCTTATTCCTGTTTACATCACAATTTTGAACATGTTTACAAATATTAAACTGACGACGATCAACCATTTCTAACCGTTTCTTGTATCATGAAATTGACGTGATTGATATTTTACATGATTCATTCTTTGGGCTGATTATATGAAATCATTCGAAGTAAGATTGTCTAAATATAATCATGTAATATTTTCGTTTAATTCGATAACTCGCCATTACTTTTGAAAACCCTACCTTGCGATTAGGTTCAAACCAGCATTGTAGTCCCTTTACCCATTATGAGTATTCATAAAGTACAGAAATTCAGAAAATACCATGCTATCATGTTGCCAACAGCATTAGTGATGAGAACTCTGGGGTTAAAAGGCTCGCCTTCCTTCATCTCACATGCCTGAACAAGAACTCTTCCTTCTTCAACGATTTTGTCCTCAATTCTTCTGTTACCAAGTCCCATACTCCTAAAGGCACTGTGCCCAAATTTTCGGGTCTTTTTCCATCCATCTCCTGCCGGCCAAATGAGGCTACCTTTAGGTGGAAAAGAAATCAACTCTAGGTTACTTTCAATACCATATTGAATGTCCTATAGTAATTGCTAATATTATAAGATGGGTAGAAGAATCCCTGCAATCTGATTGGTCAATTACCATGTAATTAGTTTTACTGGATGCACGCGATATCGGCGATCGATACCACCGATATCCTTTTTTTTTTTTTTTTTTTTTTATATAATTTTTTTTTTGGTGATAATGATTTTTTTTTCGTGTTTTTTGATAATTATAATCTGTTTAAAAAAAAAAAGAATTCTATAATTTTTTTTTTTAGTTTTCAGTTTACAGTTAAATGTGCACTGACAATTAAAAAAAAAAAAATTATTTCATGATAAGTTAAAAATCATGCGTCCGGTAAAAAAAAATTACCGGACGCATGATTTTGCCATGCATCCGGTAAATCTGTAAAGTAACAACATTTTGTATTTTTGACAATTTTCGGGGCCCCATCTTATAAAACAGATGATGCACAGGTTTAATTCGTGGGTCGGTGGAATTGTGTGCACGCGGTACCTATGAATTTGGTCTAAAACCATACAAAGGTACCTTGTGCACACAATCCCTACCGACGCACTCAAACCTGTGCATCATTTGTATATTGATCTGATTATGGAGGTAATTTATTCCTTTATTCATATTTTGTTAGATTAAGAGGAAACCTTTGACATGACAACAATAACAAAAAAGTAGAATACGAGAAATTGAATTGAGTCGTTGTTGGAATCGATTTAGGTGGTCTGTTATGTAATCTGAATAACTGGAAGACTATTAATATCTTTGAAGGAGATTAGAATCATATATTATATGGGACGAGCTGATGTTGCGATATAGGCCTACCTCGATGATCATATTGATGGTGATAGGGGTGATGACGATGATCATAAGGGTAAAAGTAGACATCGTCTTTAATCGAAATTGTTACTATAATGACGTCATCGAAATGGATAATGATGGCAATTGATCTTGATGAGAATTGTCCCAGCTACAACATATCAACATTCATTAATTACAGAGATACAATCAACTTTCCATAAAGATGCTGACGTCATAATTATGTAAATTCGTATATTGAATTCCAAGGCAACTATGATGATGTCACGAAATACTTGATGGCCAAATGAGACATGATATAATTTTTCCGACTCATATTCTATCCTTTAACTTGAACGGACGCTCATCCTTTATTAATGGTCATAAAGAGATAAACATGGTATCAAATTGTTTGGAAAAATAGAAAATATCATGAAAGAAAAACAAATGGCGATCTTATGGTGTGTACGACCATGACGAACGAAAACGCGCAAGCATGCGCGTGTGCGTATATTATTAACGAAATGCTCAGAATGGCCTGAAACGTTTGCAAATATATTTGAGATCATTAAGAGCATTTTAAAATTTTGCGCGCGCACTGACGAGCGGACGTACGCGTGCATTTATTGAACTGAAATTGACTGGACGAATATTGACCTTGGTCATAATAAATATGAATAAGAGATTAATTTCCGTTATGAAGATATGATCATGAGTTGATTTCTACAAAATGGCGCCTGGATGACGTCACGATAACCTGGTGAACTTGAAAATGTTGCTGTCACGTCTAATGACAATGACCTATGAGTGCGCCAAAATCGAAGGACATTGTCGGTACTGATCTTCAGTTATCCTCTGCACACAAAGTTGGGGAAATAAAAATAAAGAAATAAAGAATAAAGAAATAACTAAAGAAAATTCTGACGAAATCAATAAGTGGTCTGTTGATGACAAACCACCTAAAATAGATACACTGGCGTACGCAGGATTTTTTATCGAGGGGGGGGGGGGGTGAGTTAAAATGTGAAAATCGCGCCAACAATTTCGCAACGACTCAGCCAGCCACATTTTTTTGGGCCCAGTTTTTTTAGGCAAAACATTTAGCAACGACTCGGCCAGCCGGTGAATAAGTGTGTGTGTGTGTGTGTGTGTATGTGTGTGTGTGTGTGTGTGTGTGTGTGGGGGGGGGGGTAAGAGCATATATATATATATATATATATATCGGAAATTGGACAATTATGTCGACCGATATTTCGTTCAGTAGGGGGGAGGGGGAGGGGAGGTCACTTTTTTGTTCCCCTTTAGCACCAAAAAAAAAAAGAATTTGAGGGGGAGGTTAAACCCCCAAAACCACCCCATGCGTACGCGCCAGCTTAGAAACAGATTTCCCCTTTCCTGCGGTGTGATCTACCCTGGACTAATCTGCGATAATCTACGCACATCAGTAGTGGGAAAGCCCACAGGTACAGCAATGCGCTAGTACAGGGCACTTGTCTAATGTATGAAGTTATAATATAGGGTGGCGCAAAAGAACAAAGTAGCATAATAATGCCACGCAGGTCGCATATATATCTATACTGTATAGTATCAACGAAACTTCGTCGTTTTTAAACAATTTGTATGTACATCAAATTTGGTATAAGTTTTCTTACAAAATGATTCTCTATTTTCTGGTACCGATACCAGTTGATAAAAAATCTTTTCGGAAGGAAAATTATACAAAATTGGACAAAATTGGCTGAATCTTTTTTCTTCAAAGAATTGTGGTGAAACAATGTTGAGGAGTTTAACTGGAAGTGCTCTATGCGTAAAATAAAGTATCTTTCTGTAGTTTCAGAAAAGGTATTATGCTCGATCTTGAATTGGGTAAATTGTAACAGACGTCAAATCAAACATAAACATAAACATAAGTTCCACACAAATTTCTTTTTTCAGGTTTTTTTTTCAAGGAAACAGCTATTCTACTTTTCATCCTTAATATCTAGTATTTTTGATGTCCTATTGCTGTGTAGAAGTAGTCTATATCTATTCACTACCTGTTTGTCGTAAATGACTTACGAGTTTACGTTACATTGGGCATGTATATCACACATAGCTGCACTACTATCCTGGCTGTGTATTAAAAGCTATTTTATTGATTCTCAACATTTCAAACACCACTGTACACATTTCACTCAAAATCACTCAAAATCGGTACTTTAGTGACAATTGATGACACCTAAATAGCAGTAAAATACAATTTTTTTAACTTATTGATGTTAAAATGAATAATTGAAAAATTCAAATTGTAAGTCTAGCGTCGAATTTGCCGATAAGCCACATCGGTTGTATTGTGTGCATTAGTATGCAATAGTGTGAGGTGTGTGTATTTATGTGTTATACCTGCCTCTCAGCAAGTATGTAGTGGTAAAGGTCAATACGCATTAGCATTGACTCTATGCTTTGCTGGAGTGCATGTATATGTGGTTCTTACCTCGTTTGCCAAATGCAACACCGAGTAGCGGGGGTACCATGCGATCAGAGAAGGCGTCTGCCTTTTCAACAAATGCTTCCCGGATCGCTTCGACGTCGTTTATCACCACGATATCCATCACCGGCCCTATCCGAAGTCGAAAGATACCCCCTATCTCGTTGGTCCATTTCCGAAAGAGATGCCGCATGTCCTCCTGGAAACTGAACAGGTTCCCGAAAAATGGAAGCCCCGTTGGAGACGGTGGGGGTGGGTTAGAAGGAGGGGTACTCTTTTTAAACGATCCACGGGAAACAAGAAGACGAACGAAGAGACATGTCGTCACAAAAACGATGCATTCTCGAAAACTGATCTCTTGCAATCCGAGGAACATGCTGCTTGCGACATAACTTCTATTTGCCATGTTTGTTATTGGCTCGGTTGGCAACAGCCAGATAGCAATGGAAGAGGCGACGACGACTAGTAAAACTACAACACCAACTACCACTGCACATAACACTAATCAGCCTACACTGAGTTTATTTCTTTAGAATGTAATCAGTCGAGTGAACACAGGGACCCAGTTCATTGTAGTTATATATGGAGGTGTATTTACTCATTGTAGGTCATTTCAATGAATGAATCGCTCCTATATTTCGGAAAGGGCACAAACGTGCTGTTCCAAGGATAACCACTGTAATGATAAAGCAACAAGTATTTACCCGCTTTATAAGCACGGACGCTTCCTTTCTCTGTAGCGGGGTCCAAATTTGCGATTTGTTTTTGTTTTGATAAAAAGTTCGTTTGCCTTCTCGCACTATTCACATTTCATAAAAATTTATTTTCAGTTGCCAGTTTTTCTAGGTCAGGCTGACGTGTTGGAATAGCGAGTTTTCGCTCAGCGACGGACAGACCTTCTACGACGTGGGAGTTACAATAAGCGGTTTCGATTGTCGGTGAACGCGTACGTATAGTGCGAAGGTATTGCAATGCTCAATTCGATATTAACGTGTTTTTCCCCAGGGGAGGGGGCCCGGGCCCCCTCTGGATCCCTAATGCTTGCCCTACCTAGCAACAATTAATGTATGCAGTTTGCATTCTGACTCATGAAACTTACTATTATTCTTATCAGGTGAATGAACGTATTGAGAAACTTCACAAAGAATTATGTATTAAATCTGATTACATCACGAAAATGGCCGAATCCCTGCCACGCAATACAATACAGACGGGGCTACACGACTAGCACAATTTGTCTCGATCAAGCCACAAAACGGCTTTTTATCATATTTCAACAATTCATCATCCAGTTTTAAAACAATTCATTTTATCTCCATATTCATGTTGATATAGTAAAGAAACACTAATCGAAAATAACTCACCGAAAAGTTGTTCGCATTGAAATTTGTCATCCTTCGAAATGAGATTCAAGATTCGAGATTCAAGATAATTTACTGTCAAGTAAAAATACATGAAATTTGTTTTCGGACATTAGTGCATTAACAACAGTCTCCGCCCGCGTTGAGCTTGCAAAAACTCCTTAATATGAATAGCGACAACGCAGGCGTTTGTAACATTATAAAAGATAATTGAAGAACTGCGAATGACCAAACAATGGGGTATCGGAAATAGTTGTTTTGCTGTAAATAATATACAGTTCAGATGAGATGAATATTTGACAGAGCTAGAGCAGGTGAGAGTATGAGTTATGCAAGGGAGGAGTTTGGATTGCGATGAAGGAGCCCGCCCCCCCCCCCCCCACTCCGAGAACGGACGGACCCCATGCGTGTTACCAAAATGTCCTTTTCGTAACAAAAGAAAAAGGTCGACCCGTATTGACTTTACACACCGGACTTTTGCTGAAAAGGGGGGGGGGGGGTGTTGAAAAAGGCTCGTATAACAAAAGAAAAATGTCGACCCGTATTGACTTAACACACCGGACTTTTGCTGAAAAAGGAAGGTTGCTTGGAACACGCATATGCGTACCCTAAATAACACTGAGTGGGAGGGGGGGGGGGGGGGGGGAAAGGAGTTTGAGGCGATAGATGAAAAGAGAGATATAGAAATGATGATAGAGAGCAGAAGAGAGTATGTGTGAGAGTGTGTTTGGAAGTGTAGAAGACATTTGTCGGGCCGGAGAACCAAGGAGTTTTAGGAGATGGGGTCACATCTAGCTCATTCCCTTTGTAACATATTCGATGCCGTCAGGATAAAATATGTCAGGTATGTGCTTAACTTATAGATTAAAGATTCCTGCCTTGCTGCAAAATAACGGGCCACTTTCAAAGGGAAATATGCTTTTGTAATGATAATTACTTTTCGCTACAACTCGTCTGGTAATACGAGCAGTACACAGTGCTTACCTTTACAGGAGACAAGCGAAAGCAAAATTTTCTGAAATATTAATAAAAATTACTCGACTAGGCATGTGTGGGCACTAATCTGACATATAACATCACAACGAACTGCACATGAAAAAATTCACTTTGCATTTTCGTGATCCGGAAGTAATCGGAAAAGTGCCAAATTGCAGGTTTTAGGATTGTAAAATGTTACTTTTTTCACAAATTGAAACTGCTGTTATACATTTTAAGCAAATTTCTTGACACAATTAGACTTCAAATTTCTTAGAGAAAAATCACTACTCAAACTTTGCAATGATATTTGCGGCTTCGAACCTCGGATATCAAAGTTAACAGCACACCTGTAGATTCTTTTGTGCTACCGTAGAAAACGGCAGCTGCTTGGAATAATTTGTTGCCAGTTGGGACTCCAGCTCTTCAAACTTCTTGGGAGAACTCAAGTTTGGAGATATAATCGGCGAATTAATTCCATTAAGTCCATTTTTTACACGGGTTAATATACTGAAGAGATAAATCTGACGCATTGCGTCATGGTGATACGCCTTTTTTTTTTGAGGGACGGGTCTTTAGCCACGTGGGTTTCTTTGTTTGAAAGGTATTAAAATGATAGGGTCTTGTACTGGTCAGCAGTTATTCATTGGACAGGTTAAGTTGCTGCTATTTTTATCTCAAGTTGAAATGTCAGACTGAATGGCCCGAATTCACAAACGAAGTTTGTCGACAAACCTAGGTTTACGTGCGTCATATGACGCGTTTTGACGCGTTTTTGTTTACAAACCAAAATGCTCCGGTGACAAATGCTCTTCGAACGACAGTTTCTCCGACGATTTTGCTCCTACGACACTTGATCCGCCGATATTTGCTCCGCCGACATTGCTCCGCCCAAAAAGTGCCCCGTTGAAAACAAACATATTGCTCCGATTGTCTCATTTTCGCTCGCTGGATCACTGCAGCACAAACATAGCTCGTTCGACGTCACTACCAAACTAACCAATCAGCTGTCAATGACGTCATATTGAATGCGGCGGCAAGTATATTTTGTGAAATTATCGAGAGATGGACTATTTCTAATTGCAAACTAGTTTTATTTTTGGATGGAATCGCAGCCATTGTTATCTTGACATTCATTGAAGTCATCAGAATAAGGTAATTTACGTCTCTGATGATTCAAGAGGTCTATTTGGTAGATAAATTTTTCAATTTCTTAGAATCTTCCACTGTGTTGCAGGGTACCGGGTGTATGCCATTGGGTGTGATGTGTTCGCGCGCAATGGCGCGAATTATACATTCTTCTTCTTCTTCGCTATAAGTACAGGCCACCGCGCCGTCGGGTGTCAACATTCCTTTCCTTCTCAATACAATAACTTTCACCTGCCTAAGTTATTCAAACCATACGGAATCGTGGCGTCTCGCCACTTCCATTACGTAATCATTAAAAGGATCCGCATATACAACATTTTCCTGCTATACGTTGTACCGCAGGAAAATACAAATCTCCCTGGTATACCTTACAGTCCAAACGATAAATATGTGCCTTAAACGAAGCAGGCAACAATCGGCGTAGCAGACGACACTTGATAGTAATTTTGTATGTGAGATTGCTTTGCTAAATATAAATTACTTTGTTAATAAATATCAACTAAAATTTCTTTTACGTATCTTTAAACCATCACTGATGTTTAATAATTCATGAGTGAGTAAAATAAACATACCAAACGATATAATGATATGAAATACTTGGTGGCAATTAGGGGAGTTTGACGTGATGACCGATTGCACCCCTCTGTTAATAACCGAATAGTCCATGGTGTGTCATGAATATTCATGTTTTTGCTTACCTCGGCTAAATGTTTGCTTTTACTAAATGGAAAAATTACGGTGGGGGTTGGATGAAATGGACATAATGAACCAAGCAGAAGTGATCTATGATAATTCATGCTTCTAATCCTTCGTGTGCTTGACCTATAATCTTACAATCGCTTGGCAGACTGAGTCCAAAGTTCGACTTGTTTCACATGTGTATTATAGGCAATGGCGAGCTTGCAACCTATTTTGAAAAATTACGGTGGGTGAACTTTCAAAAGTCAATGAGACATGAGGGCTCCAATGAAAGAGCTAGTGATAACGTACGTCGGGGTGGATGTGCTTTTTGTTTAAACAAAAAATGAATTTTTAACGATTTAAAAAAAAAAACGTACATAGGCTAATATGTTAGGCTGCTGACTCTGACGATTGGTGGCGTTGTGAAATGAGACTAAACGGAGCAATATGTGCTCCGCCGACAACAAAATTGCTCTCTGATCCAAAAGTGCATTTGTCTCCCATGGGGCAAGTGTTGATCGGGGAGCATTTGTCACCAGAGCACTTATCGCTTCATGCGTAGCAATTATCGGCGTAGAAATTATCGGTGGAGCAATTGTTGGCAGAGCAAGTGTCGCAGGAGCAAATATCGGCGGAGCAATTTTCGTCGGAGCAACTGTCGACGGATCGCCTCGTTATTTTTGTCTTAAAGATAATGTTGAGTTCTGGTCATGCGATTGCATTGTGAAAGAAACGTTGTGGAATCGATCAGAAAAGGTTGATCATCTAGCATATATTACTGCAAGGTTCGGGAACCATCAAAATAGGGAGTTTTAGATTCTGCACGACGAGAACGTGGACTAGTGATAAGAAATTTGGCCCAGTCTTGGTAAATTTACAAGCACTGTACACAAAAAAGATGTATATGGGACTACATGAACATGTGGCATAAAAATCCATCATGATTTTTTTAATGATGTTCCATGCCATATCTAGAATACTAAGGCATTTGAAGAGCCATGCTTTTCAGGGAACATTTTGTATCTGATGTTCTTCCACACTTGCATAATACAATGATGATGCTTAAAAACTTTTTTTCACCTCTTCCCAGAACTCAACCTTCTCTTTAATGCTGTATCTTCAATTGCCATCATCCGTTGTGTTGTGCTGACTCGATGATTATCGTCATAGTCATCACCAAATCATCTTCATCGTCAACTACATCATCGTCCCCATCATCATCACCGTCATCATTCCTGACCTCACCGTGGATGCCGCTTTGGTATTGATTTATTTGTTTTTGAAAGCTTTGCTGAATTATTTGATGATCCTTTTTGTGTTCGCCTTTTGATGATTGGTTATTGTTGTATAATTGTATATTTGTATATTCATTTGATAGTGAGGTTAGTTTCTTACTCCTTTGTGACGATCTCGTTTATTATTGTTTTGTTTTTCGTAATATACAGGAGATTAATGGCTCCCTTTTTATCCGGTGATCATTGTTATTTTTATGTTGATTATTGACGTCTAGGAGAATTGTCTGCTTACATTTCAATATAAAAGAAGAGTCATGGTCGTTCAGATTTTGATGTTTACCAGTGACGTCACACCGTTCTCACTTAAAAATACCACACTTTACATAGTAATCTGTTTAGGGTAATCGTCGCATAATACAGCCTTCACAGTGCCTTCGAAGTAGTTTTAGCTCACCAAATATGCAAGTAACAGCTGTCATACTCAGCTCTTAAGAACATAAATCTTCATCGAGACCCATTATGTTAATCACCGATTTATTTTTTATTTTGCTTCGAAATTACGATATAACAGTAAATTATAATTTTTTAAATTATTATTTAGAATAGATAATAATATTTAACAGGCGCCAAATCCACTTGACAGTCAAATGCTCAAGGCGCAGCTTGTGCAAAAGATGAAATACATGATAAATATATACAAAAGTGCAATAGGAAAGGTACAGACATTAAAGGTTATGGTAATCATTATAAGCTAAATTAAACAGATATTTCTTTAGATTGTTTTTTAACACTCGGAACTGCTATTTTTAATCCATTGAGGGAGATTATTCCATAAAGAAGGCCCAGCATGAGCGAAGGTTCGCTCCCCCAATTTGTTTTAACCCTAGGAGTAACAACTAAGCCAGAGTTTTGAGAACGTAGCTATCTAGAGGGAAAGTAATGCTTGATCAAGCCGATGTTGTACTGTAGCACAGAGCCATGTATACAGTGAAATAATAATAAAACAAATCTTGAAAACAACACGTTCTTCTACGGGCAACCAATGGAGTGATTTGAGGGCTGGTGTGATGTGATTGTACTTGTTGGACAGGGTCACGACACGAGCAGCAGCATTCTGTAATTTTTGTAATTGTGTGAGTAGGTTGTGAGGCGAACCAAACAAAAGCCCATTACCAAAATCCAAGCGAGATGAAATTAAAGCATAAGTAATTTTCTCAGTGGCACTAGAGTTAAGATATTTAAGATCTAGAACATCGATCTTTCCACCATTCTACCACACATTGTTAGGTTACTGTACAACAAATACAAATTATAAAAAACGATAACAAATAATAAAAAAGGGTTTAGTTTTCTAGTAAACGCCTTCTCGCTTGAGGCACTATTGGATGGCATGTTATAGGTCCTCCAAACGAGCAGAAAAGATCCCCCTGAGTAATACTATTTTTATTTTTAAAATAAAAATTGCATTTTAATTTGTGTGTGTGTGTGTGTGTGTGTGTGTGTAGGAAAAATGAAATTTGTCACAGTCAAATCACCAAATCAGCCTACTTGAATTTCCCACATGTATAGTAATTACACAATCGTGATCTTGTCATGGTTTCATGGTCTCTGACTTTCTTTTTTCTATCAGAGCGACTCGCTACTAAGGTTGGATTTCCCTTTGATTCCTGTCTACACCATCGTGAGAAAAAGAGAAGTTCGCCGTAATCACATGATGGTGTTGAGGCTAAAACCAGGAGGGGACTGGGGAAGTCCCTCCTGTACTAGCCATTGATGAAAAGTTTTTAAATCTTCGTCAAGTCTTTCATGGTGCTCTTTGGTGAAAGGATCAAAAGACAGATTTGGCGGATGCGGTCGATGTGGAGAGGCATCTGCGGATGCCACTGAACAGGATAAACGATGCTCATTAACATCAACATCGAGGAACTTCATAATTCGGCGCAGCTCATCTTCCAAGTTTGTTTCTAAATTGTCATAGTATACAATAAGAATGGACTTGCAAGGGGAATTGGCGCCTTGATGGTTGCATAACTCAAACAGAGTCCGCGATAGTTTCAGCCAACGACTGAACTTAAAAGTCTCAGACACATACACGGACCAGGCTGTGGAAGAATGGAACATAATCAAGATGAAAGTTAAATAACATTATAGTGCTTTTGAAAGGTCACATTGCTTTAATCAATGGGACACTGCCAGAAATATGAAGCCAAACACAAAATCGAGTACAGATTTTGCGACTTTAAAGTAAATGAAGAGGATTACCGAAAATATAGGCAAAGGCCCGTCATTAAGAGTTGCGATCGATTAAAACTAAATTACATTATTTTAATATTTACCGCACCTCTGTACTAAAGAGATGGATATAATTATAGAATAATTTGTCATCAATCGCAACACCTCTATAAGACGGGACACTTGTGGTTGCTATGACGCATAATCCCGTATTAACCCATGAGGGTACATGTATATAATATTAGTCGATTATTCATTCTTCCTTCAAATTATAGTATTTACATATCCAACAAAGATTTCTACATGTATAATATAAACGGGTCAATGTCGCTATTCATAAGGTCCACTATTCATAAGGACCGCTATTCATAAGGTCCGCTTTTCATAATTGGAGAAAAGGGTCATTATTCGTAAGGGTCATTATTCATAAGGACCGCTATTCATAATCAAAGAAAGAGGGTCGGTATTCATAATATTAGAAGAGGGTCGCTATTCATAATACGAAATCGGGGTCGTTATTCATAAGGGTCCCTATTCATAATATTACACAAGGGTCAGTGTTCATAACACAGAAAGAGGGTCGCTATTCACAATACGAAATGAGAGTTGCTATTCATAATACGAAATGAGGGTCGCTATTCATAATACGACGAGAGGGTTGCTATTCATAATACGAAATGAGGGTCGCTATTCATAATGCAAAATGAAGGTCGCTATTCCTAAGGGTCATTATTCATAAGGACCGATATTCATAATCAAAGAAGAGGGTCGGTATTCATAATATTAGAAGAGGGTCGCTATTCATAATACGAAATCGGGGTCGTTATTCATAAGGGTCCCTATTCATAATATTACACAAGGGTCAGTATTCATAACACAGAAAGAGGGTCGCTATTCATAATAGAAGTAGGGGGTCGCTATTCATAATAGTAGAAGAGGGTCGCTATTCATAATAGGAGTAAAGGGTCGCTATTCATAATACGAAATGAGAGTCCCTATTCATAATAAGAAATGAGGGTCGCTATTCATAATAGGAGTAGGGGGTCGCTATTCATAATAGTAGAAGAGGGTCGCTTTTCATAATAGGAGTAGAGGGTCGCTATTCATAATACGAAATGAGGGTCGCTATTCATAATAAGAAATGGGGGTAGCTATTCATAATACAAAACGAGGGTCGCTATTCATAATACGAAATGAGGGTCGCTATTCATAATGCAAAATCAGGGTCGCTATTCATAAGGGTCATTAATCATAAGGTTCATTATTAATAGGAGAAGAGGGTCGCTATTCATAATAGGAGTAGAGGATGGCTATTCATAGTAGAAGAAGAGCGTCGCTATTCATAATAGGAGTAGGGGTCGCTATTCATAATACGAAATGAGGATCGCTGTTCATAAAGAAATTATGAATAGCGACCCCCTACTCCTATTATGAATAGCGACCCTCTTCTACCATTATGAATAGCGACCCTATACTCCTATTATGAATAGCGACCCTCTCGTGGTATTATGAATAGTAAACCTCATTTCGTATTATGAATAGCGACCCTCTTCTCCTATTATGAATAGCGACCCTGTCGTGGTACTATGAATAGCGAACCTCATTTCGTATTATGAATAGAGACCCTCTTCTCGTGTCATGAATAGCGACCCTTATGAGTAATGAACCTTATTTCGTATTATGAATAGCGACCCTCTTCTCACGTTATGAATAGCGGTCCTTATGATTAACGAACCTTATTTCTTTATGAATAGTGACCCTCTTTTACCATTATGAATAGCGGACCTGCAGGTATGGGAAGTTCATGTTATGAATAGCGGTCCTTATGAATATCGATTGGACCCCATATAAACATGCCTTTATGTATGAGCAGCCCAGTGAAAAAAGCCTTTAGATTTATTTTTAAAACATAGTTTTTGATCATTCTAAGATTTACTTATATTAATCTCGGAAGTTTCGGAATTGCTTAAAACAGCATGGACACAAAATCGTGATCCGGAGAATCGTTTTTAACAATATACATACATCTCCCGAAAATATATACACTAATACAACCGTCATGGGACTACGTCTGCTGTACTCGAATGCATATTGCCTACGAGGCGTTTAATTTGACTGCAATATTATCTGCGTAAATCAGACTGCAATAATGACGCCGTCTTTCGCCAGGCAAATGACGCCGTCTTACGTCAGGCAAATGACGCACTCCTTCTTCGCCTTCTATTGCCTTCTTCGCCTCTCTGCAAATAATCATGCTCGTTTTACACACGTGCAATTTTGCCAAAAAACAGTAGACACGTAATGACGGGAGGATTGCTTTGTGCAACACATCGGCTTTGAATATATATAATATCAACCCTTTAACATCGGTATAGATTATTCTTTCACTGGAAACAGTTAATCAATCTCGAAGCTTTAGGTATAGATAACCCCATGATAAATGCAATGTGACACAGGGGACAATTTTGTGGGGCGTATAAATGCTAAAGATTTACCTTCGCTCCGGAACCTGTTCTCGTCGACGATGCCGTTCGGCCCAAATCCCAATCGAACAAACTCATCTATTATTGCTTGGTAGGGGTTACGCATGATCAAGATGGCTTTATTGATGGATATTTGGCCATCTATTTTGTTCGTGTATCCCCGCCAATAGTCGTGCATCCCTGATACTATTGTCTCGCCTGCTGCAACATTTCGCATTTCTCCGATGAAATCTGGAAGACAATAGAATGATCGAAAATGGTAGATAAGACGCCCTCATATGAGGATAAATGTGTAGTCTTTGCTCCCTATCTTGGGTAGGGTGCATATTGTAGCTTACTGCTTACAGCAGATTATATTGCCTTTTAATCATTTTCCCTCCCTCTTTCTTTCCCTCTCTTTCTCTCTCTCTCTCTTGCTCTCTCTCTCTCTCTCTCTTCCTCTCCTTTTTAGTAACCAATAGATTTGAAGCGTTAATTATATAACCTGTCGCATTTTATTTATACTTTTGTTGATTTGTAATACATAATGGTGTACCGAATAAATGCATTTGTCAGCTCACAATAAGTGTAAATCTTAAATTCCGCTGTGAGAGAGGCGGTTAATTTGAGAATGAAAGGGGGAAGATGCTTGAAAAGGGTGCGGTGAATGAAAAGAGTCATTCTAGCCTTCCACTTCACGGATACTAGCATCTATACTTTAAGTATATGAATGTAACCTATAGATTGCAATACTCCTAATATACAGGAATCAGGATTAAGTTGTACAAAATAATTGTAAGTATGATATGCTTTTAGTGATACGAAACATAACCATAGTTTGTTTTCAGAGTTTTGCAATTTTATTATTATTTTTTTTTTAAACACTTGGCTAAGTATTCGGCTTAGGGCAGGTAATTTCTAAAATGTTTCAGTTGTCTAATGTACATTCAAACATTTTTACCTATATTTATAAATTTCTCGAGATAAATTCTAGATTTCCTTTATACAAGTGTTGTGAAAAACCGTGCTAGTAGCTCGGCAGGCTTATCCCGAAATATTGTATATTTTGCTGGTTGCTTTAGGTGTAATATTATCTTTATCATGAACGTTGATAGGATGAACTGATGATTTCCTATATAAGTAAACAAGGCATAGGAGAATTTTGCAATTCGAGAGAGACTATATGGAGAAACAGTTGGGAAAACATATCAGAGTTCCGGCTGTATCAAACTTCAGACCAATACAAGAAATTGTATTGGTCTGAAGTTAGGTAGCCTACTACCAAATCAATGTGGTAGACAAAACACTCAAAGCAAATAAACATTTTTCATGTGTAAATGAGCATGTCAAATTTGTAATTGTACCACTGATTGTGTTTAAATTTATTTTTTTTAAATAAAAAACTGAACATGAAGTCGGACAAAATTTACCTTTTTCATAGGTCTGGATGTGGTAGACACTACTTGTCGCATAGCCAGTGGCTCTTTCGATCATTCTCCTCACCCACCTGTCTCCCGACCCGGGAAAACTAGCAAGAGCTACGAGCGGGAACGTTCCCGCTGGCATCAGATTGGTGCTGTAGGTGTCATTGCATGACGGTTTTTGCTCTAGGACTGGAAGAGGAAATACATTTTCAGAGAGATATTAAACACAAACACACACACACCCACACGTACACAATTGCAACGCTGCACATTTCGTAGAAATTATCGAACTAAGTGGATAAGAAATAACATGGCTGATACAGTACTCGAAAAGTGAATACAAACTAAACCATGTGTTGCTATCATTGTTGGCGCAAAATTGGTAGAAATCACCTTTGTATCTCGATAAAATAAAAAAAATTGAAGATTCTGGTGTCATCTAATTGACTTTGACGCTTCATTCCACTCCTATATAGTTGGCCTCAGTAATACTTGTAAGATAAATACAAATAAAATGCAAATTTACCTTGTCTTGGTGTTGTCCTGGTATTCATGGCTGGTTGATGTGTATTCCCAACACGTTCCATTCTTGCAGGAACATGTACAAGCTGTTCCAACTTTACTAACATTACGATGCACCAAAGCGCTATGAAGATTAACAAGGCCACTGACTTCTTGTTTATCTCTATTCGATTTGGGAAACCTGTCATATTAATTTTTGTTGGCCCTTTCTTGGATGTACTGCCTCTGTATTCAGATCCAATCCTATTTGGCTACAATGCGAGAAAAAAAAACAGACCAATGTCACTGACAACATAAACTGGTGAGATCAATAACAAACAAGAATCAAATATCAAAAGATTCCAATTGATTTTACACGGCAGGGAAATTCTATTCCCACAAAGTCTTGGGAATTCAACGAAGCAGTTGTCCGCAAAATCTTCCTGCAATGCACAACATTCGACTGTACAATTTAACCTGGCCTAGTATAGTCGGACGTACGTCTATGCATCCATGTGTAGATAAACTAGGTATACATAAACTGTGCCAAATCTTAAAGGTTTGGTGTCCTTAAGATGGTATAGAAGTTACGAAATCGAAGCATTGTCTCGGAATAGACCTTTTCTACATTCGATCTCACCATTTGCTTTCATTCATTGCTTCAGTAAACATGAATAGGACGTCTGGCTCGAGTCCTACGAGAAGCTGAACAGATTTGGTAATGCGGATTAAACCTGACGCATCAATGGTTCCTGTCATGGCTTACATCATGCTTTTATTTTTTTTTCCTTCAATATGTGGTGAGCCTCCCGCCCCCCCCCATTCATTGTTATTTAGGGTACAAATATGCGTGTTCCCAGCGACCCCTCCCCCTTTCAGCAAAAGTCCGGTGTGTAAAGTCAATACGGGTAGACCTTTTTCTTTTGTTACGAGCCGGAGAGTTTGGGAACACGCATGGTATCCCTCCGTTCACGGAGTGGGGGGGGGGGGGGTGGGCCTGTACTGATTAAATATAAAATTGAATTCTGGAAAAGGGGAAAATAAATTGTGAGTTTCTTAATTCTTTTTATGTAAGAGTGAAAGAATATTATAGAAAATATCCTTAAAAAGTAGGCTCTTTATTGAAATGCCCTCATAGTCGAAATATGACAAGTAACAGCTAACGTCACGTAGTCCCATATGCCCTTTTATGTGTGCAATGCCAGTGACTTATTGAAGGACTTGGCCAATTTCTAATAAGTATTATGATTCTAAAAACTCATAGTATAGTACTTTTTCAAACATTCTAACTATCTTATTTTGTTTCCCATTTTTCTCAAACTGTCATGTTTACCCTTTTTCTTTTTTGAATCCATAGAATGGGATTTCTAAAATTTTAACAACAAAAACCCCGAGTACTGGAATACACACAGAAGAGGAGTCACCTTTGGTCTTATTGAAATTTAGAATATACCCCATTTCTTGGCTGACCTTTAGAAGAACAAGAAGGAGAAGGGGAAGTAGAAGAATAAGAGAAGGGGAATCTAGAAGAATAATTCAATTTAATTCAATTCAATTCAACTCAGTTTTGGTTTTATTGTAGAGGAAAAGGACTTGGCAATAGTTCGTAGACTAATATTGTCATATTTACAGTAAAATACAATAAAACATGAAATAAAGTTATAAAATGTACATTGAAGAAGAAGAAGATGAAGAAGAAGGAAAAGAAGAAGAGAAAAAGAAGAAGAAATGGAAGAAGAAGAAATCAAGAAGAAGAAAAGAAAAAGAAGAAGAAAAGAAAAAGAACAAGAAAAAGAAGAAGAGAAGCTTTGTTCAGTTTTGTTGTCATGTATACGAGGATTTCCCCTTGCTAATTAGGTCTGCAATTTTCACTGCATACTATTCGTTGATTAAAATGGAAAAGATGACGGCAGAGGCATGTAAAAGATAGGTTCTAGGTATGTTTCCTCCATTGGAGAACAACATTTTGCAATCATATCATTTCCTGATACACGATTGCAAAGACTTTCAAGAGATATCGATATCCGCAAATTGTTTAAAGTTTTTTTTTTCCAGTTGCAAACACTGGTGTAATTTCATTCAATTCAAAGCCATTGATTCGGAGAGTTTGGGCAACTCGGTTCGAATCGGGCACAATATGGCGAATGCTGTTTTGTTAGGCAACCACAAATTAAACGAATATATGCCATGCTGTGACCAAGTGAAACCGAGTTGGCAAAACTCTGTGTATAGATGGCTCTGATTCAGTTTGTTGCACAGCTCCCTCTTTAGGTTCATTGTGTTCTCCTTTTGTTTTAAATGTACATGACTGTATGAACAGGGAGGTGAGACTTTAACTCACATACCCTGGTATGAATGTACAGAAAGCGACATTATCCGTTTTTCATCTTCTCCTAAGTCAACCTCACACTATATGATAAGATTACGATTCGATTTTAGAAGAATTTGCAATAGCATGTGATACGAACATTCAAACATTAAAATATTCATGATCTGAATTTCATGCTTTCTTCGAAGAGGAAAAGTGCTTTGGTGGTGGTGGTGTTTATTTTACCTGACTGCTAAGAAAGCATAAATGCTTGTAAGTAAGCAACCAGACGGCCGACGGATTTAGGCTCTCTCTAAGGGACCTAGTAATGAGGAGTAATGCCTTAGTTTCGAACCCGGGTCACCAGATTACGAGACCACTGCTCTACCGACTGAGCTATCGCGCCTCCTAAAGCTTAATCGGTTCAGAATCATAGTGACGTCAGACTAGTAGTGTGATTGTCTACGATGTGAAGCCGACTCGGCTGTTATCCTGACTGAAAGAGTTCAATGCACTACAGTTCAGTTTGTTAATCAGGAAGATGATGTTTGATTAGATTTTATATCTAATACCATTGTCATTTCTTCGAAAATCGGGTCGCAGGACGATCGGGTAGTGTGCCTCGTGAAGCCTCGTAAATTGGAAAATGAAACCTTATGGTTGTAGTTGTAGTTCACCTTTTTGTTTTTCATTTTATTTTCACGGCATCCATGTCCTTAATTACTGCACGTCACGTTTTGCCACGTGTGGCGGACGTTTGGTTCTCCACCGGAAACTACCGAAACACTTGGAATCATCATTAAAAAGTACTCTGGAATTCAAATGGTATTATTTGGGAAGTTTTATGAATCTGGATTTTTTTCTATAAGTAAGCAAAGCTTTCTAACACAATACTGCACATCTAACCTAGTATAGCACATATACGACGGCACTAAAATTTCCCGCCTTTTCTAGGAGGCCAATCATGGCGGCTTCAGCCACCTCTGAGCCGGAACTGTCTGTGAGGAGTGAAGGTGATGACGTGTTCAGAGTTGTTACTCATAATTGCCATAGGAAAGGAGAACCTAAACAAAAAAGAAGACGAGAAGAAAATGTAGCGGTAGAAAACTTAAACACCAGCATCAGAATCAGAGTCAAACACTTAGGTTTATTGAACCCCTTCTCCTGGCCAAGATTCAAAGCAAACAGATCTTAAACTTTTGATTACCTCAATAGACAAAACGAATCTCGTATAAATATGAGTCCCATAAAAATCGCACTTGCGATTAAAAACATGTGCGCAGTCCCGTGGATTTACGCCAAGCGTCATCCTTTTAATAAATCCAGTTTCCCAACATCAATAAGAATGTGCTTTCAAATAAAATCGGTGAAGCCATACATTCCAAAGGTAGTCATGTGCTACAAATACCAAAGATTTGAGCAAGTGGGGCAGCACAGTGCCGATCTAAAACGAGATGTGTTAGAGGTGAAGAAAACGACAATTTTGAGGAGTGCGGCAAAATAGATACTCCAAAGTGTGTAAACTGTGGAGGAGTGTTTTCTACCGCTTACAATTTATTTATTTATTTATTTATTTCATTTCCAGGCAAGATGATAACATACAAAATATCACAAGGTTAACAAATGATAGAACAAACTGTAAACATAATGATAATGGATGCACATGAGCAAAAAAAAAGGGAGAAAGTAAAAAAATCAAAATCACACAAAAACCCACGTATGCACAAGCGTCACAAATATCTTAATGGTCAAATAAACAAAATTAGCCCCAAGTTAATATCGTCACACAAACCTCCGAAATGAGGCAAGAGGAACGAGAAAACAGCTGTACTTAACAGAAGTAGTCTACTTATTTTAACAAAATCGTTAAAAATTCATTTATTTTGGACAAGCCCGCAGAATAGTGTATGTCGATTAGTATAGAGGCATATGGATGTGTGTAGGTATATGTCGCTATAGATATATAACAAATTAAGCGCACTTTAAAGTAACACTAATCAAGCCCACAAATGTTTTGCTTACATTTTGTCTTATTGTCAAATTTTGAGATTGAATATGAATCCCTCGGAACACTTAGGTGCACAAACGCCCCTAGCCTATCCCTGAGTTAACGAGGCCCGCGGAAAAAGTCAGCGTAATGTAATTCGCTCAGTGGTAAGATGGCATCGTTTAGACAAGAGCAGGACAAGCCCTATGTTAAACTGAGGGAGCGTGGTTAATTTGGTGAGTTGCACACAAACTGCTTTGAATGATAAAAATGAGAGATATAATCACGTGACGTAAAATAAGTTGGCGACAATAGTCACAACCGACTAATCGCCATTGAGCCAAAACAGAAGAAGAAGAAGCTATAATGTTTTTTTGATTCGGTCTTTGCCGAATGATTTAATCATAGTAATCACAAGTTTATACTACTATTGGTAATAATGTTATGAATAACAAGGATATTAAAAAATAATGATAATTGTAACAATTAAAATAATAATGATAATAATGATGATAATGATATTAATAATGACAATCGTAAATAATAATGATAACTTATCGCACATTTGAATTATTTCTTGGGTTGATATTTCGAAAGTCTTTGCGATAATCGTGTTTTGGTGGTGTTTTTTCAGGTATAATTATTTCCTACATTAGATATGTTGCAATATTTTCATGTGCAAATGCTTGCAACATTAATGATGCACGCACGTTTCATGACCTTCATTCTAGGGGCAATCAAAAATCTGTAGACCAAGGAAATCTTGTTGGAATTAGGGCAAAATACATTTCATTAAACTTACTCCAAATAAAGTCTACTCTTTACGACTTTGCAATGATCAAAGTTCACACAGATACCATTCTTCATATCCTGGGTTATTACCAATAAAAAAGTATAAACCTTTCCTATTAATATGTACCTACAAATATATATAAAGGTATATATGAGGCCTATCCGAAAATTTTAAAAATGAAATTTGTTTTTCTTGTGTTCGATTGAATTCAGAGGGATCTCTGCGTAATAAGATTCAAACATTACACATACACTGAATGCCATAAAACACTCGTTATGACGAAATAAAAAAAATATAATTGTGAACAAATTTCTTTTAAAATGTTTTATGTAAAGCTTTTTGTTTGAATTACCCTGTTTTATCTCCTGTTCATATCCTACCTGATACATTTTAAAGTGATACGCCAGCAAAAAAGGAGCGCTAGTGTTATCATGATATTATAACATTACTGGAGCAACACGCTATGCTTTGCTTCTCTTATTTCATTGCTGGATTTTACTGATTTGTGCATTTTTATTGAACCTTCAACTATTTTTTTTGATTGTTGTTTAAACTTGAGATAACCTGTCAGGAGATTTTAGTATGCTGATGGTGTGACATTTCTTTTTCAACTACTTTTCCCGAATCTTTTTTCTTCTTGTTTGGGAGCCTCATATGAATGTTTAAATTATAGAACACAAATTAATGTGACTTCTAACACTGATCGTTTAATCAATCCAAATTCTGTTTTTCATTGTTTTTCAAGCCTATTGCTAAAAATGAACTAATCAATGTCTTTAGATAGTCGAATAATGCAAAATCGATTAGATACGATAAACTTGGATATAATGTATTTTAATGTACTTTACGTGAAGAGGCCACCGATTACCGACAAATCTAGATGTCTTTAATTGCAAACAAGTCAAATATTCCATAGGTTATCCAGCAAGTAACCATCAAATAAATTATTGATCATGGTTCTTCGGGAATGTGATATCTTGTCTTTATTCTTCCTCATTGATGGATCATGTTTAAACCATATATACATATACACAAAAAGAAAATTATAACGGTATTATTGATTGATTTATGCATTTATTATTTCATTGGTTATGTATTAACTGGTAGATAATTATCTCTACGTACCTCTGTATGATCAATATACACATTCTGAATAAATTTCTTATTTCTATGTTACAAAATAGATAATTATAATATGATGAGGTGTATCCTAATCAAATGATTGGTTGGAAGCGTGTACGTGACCAGGCATTTATTTTGCCTAACGCGTAATTTGGATAATGACCTGTCATTATCCAATGGTAATAACCGGTCATTAACAAAATCATTTTATACAACATCATTTCATAAAACAAATAAAACATAATCTTATTAAACAAATAATACACATCATTTTGTTCGGGCATTAGTAAAAATTACCCACACTCGGTACCTTCAACACAGTCCCGAAACCTCGGCTATCGCCTCGGGCGTTTTAGACTGTTCCAAAGGTACCTCGTGTGGGTAATGGATGTGTATTATTGGTATACTATCCTGTACATGTGATTGTATTTTTTGATTAGGTTAGGTATGGTAATACATGATTCACAAAACACGAGGTGGAGAGGGAAAAAAGAGCAAAAGGAGGAGAGGGATATAGAAAAAGAGTCAGATGCAGAGCAAATACCAGATATTCAGAGAGAGACAGAGGGGGGGGGGGGGGGGGGGGGGGGGAGATAAGAGATATATATAGGCCTATGAAGGAATGAAAGAAATTGGTGAAGAAAATTACATTTACACTCTTTTCTCTGCCTTAATCAGAAAATCATACGGTATCAATGCAACACCAGGTATGGCATCTATGTTTGCCGGTGAATCCCCAGGCAAGCGAAAGATGAATCTTTGAAGGAGACAAGTGAAGGTCAAGAAGACTTCCATCTTGGCCAATATCTCTCCCAAGCACACACGGCTCCCTGAGCAAATAAAAGTAATAATATCAATACGTTGTTAAAGTTACTTGAATATCATAAAACAGACGAATACAATTGTATTTATTCTGAGACAGGCCCCGTTGTTTAGAACCTGTAACCGGGACGAAGAGGAAGTATGAAGTTAGCACTTCTGTACTCTATTGTCGATATGTGCAAAAATGACGTCAAATCGAGGATAATGATCAAAGCATTACATTAGTAAGCACACTCTGCTGTCATAGTTCATTTTTTTCTAGAGTCTGTAGGGTCAAAATCGGGAGAGAGTACGAAATCCGCCAATGCTAATCTGCACTCCAAAACACAACCATTATAAATTAAACTGATAAATACTGAAATCTCTCATTCATTGCACAAACATGCCTTGACACGAACAAGTTCACGGACCTGGGGGACGTTTCACAAACACTAAGATCGACTTTAAGTAGGACTTAACTATAGCAGGCTGTTTATTCCACCATTTGCTCTCACTATTTACTGGCAAAGGTCTCTCAAGAGACGAACAAATCATGGTCACAAATCTACAGAATTTACTTTTTTTTCATTTATAATTCCTTATTGAAGGAAGAAATATTATCTAAAGATCACAATGGCGAGAGCAAAAACAGCCTGTTTTAGTTAAGTCCAACTTAAAGTCGATCTTAGTCTTTACTCTTTGTGAAACACTCCCCTGGTTATGGTTATCGTAATCGCACTTGCGTAGATTCATGTACCCTATGGCAATGAATAGATGTTTTACTATAACCTACCTATTCCAAATGGAATGAATGCATCCGGCTTGATAATGCTTCTTCCATCATCGCTCATAAATCGTGAAGGTTTGAACTTGTCAGGCTCCTCCCAATACTTCGTACTGTGCATGAGCTCCCAAATATTCACGATAGCAGCTGAAATATGGAAAGCAACAGATAGTATGGATGAAGATTAGTTGGTGTACAGAATAAGATGTGCACGTATGTATTATGATAAAAGTTAAAGATAAAGGTGAGTTCTGGTAATGCCAGTGCATTGTGAAAGAAAAGGTGTGGAATGGATTAGAAAAAGTTGATCATGTAGCATGTAAGTATTGGTGTGAACTGCAAGGTTCTGGAATCATCAAAATCATAATAAATTTGGCCGAGTCTTGGTAAAAGTAACAAGCACTGTACACAGAAAGCTATATATGGGACTACACAAATGGTGTCGGGGCTAGTACTACCTGATTTTCTTATCTTTCTATGCTCATTACTCAGCCAATATACATTTTCTTCCAAAATTAATTGGCACATGGCATTTATTTGTAATCTTGAACATTCAGTGTAAGTTTCGTTTGATTCTGTGAGAATTCATTTCCCCCTTTTTTTTTACCAGAACTCAAGTTTATCTTTAACTCTGATATTATGTGAGTAATTCAACAATTGTTAGCTGATTTATTATGATATTGATTATGATAGTCTTATCTAGGTTTACATAGTGCTTAATAAATCACTACCCCGATCATCGGATTCACACTTGCCCGCAGACAATGTCAACAACTTGTTCACCCCCTGGGGAGCATTCCAGGCAGGCTCCATGTTTAGGTCTTTAACAAAATGTTGTATTGTCCTTTAGGTGTCAGCACCTGTTTTTTTTATGGTTTTTTTGGTTGCTCTATTTCCATCTTTGGGCTGATATCTTTCTAGATTTTTTTAAAGTAGGGGGTAATGCGGATTCCCCCCCCCCCCCAAACAAAAAAGTTTTTTTGCTAATTACGCCACAGCTCCCTCGTCCATCGCATTTCGTCCCCCCCCCCCCGTACATGAAAAGAAATCGCCGCCCCTGCCGAGTTGGCCAACTTGGTTTAGTTGAACTGAATATGGCGTATGATGTTTACCAAATATAGCAGTATTCGCCACATTGTTACCAACTAAAATCGGGTTGGCCAAATAAAAATCTCCTAATCAATGGACTCTGTTTGGGAGGATGCAAGGGAGCCCTCTATAGACACACTGTTTGAAATTGTATCTAAAATGAAATAATACTTCTCTCACTTGGTGATGATCGGCGAAATCCAAATTGAGAAAAAGTAATGTCGGAAATGATTGTCCAATACCCCCCCCCCCCTCCCGTCAAAGAACACTGTATTTTCCCTGATTATAATGATCAATCATTAATATGTCATAGTAATTAGATTACCATGTGCGAGCCCGTAAGAAGGCGATCATAGCTAGAATGCGCTTCAGGGAGTGGAGACGTTCTCAAGATTTAGCAATTAAGAACCTTCAAGATACAAGCGCGTAGCCAGGATTTCATTTTAGGGGGGGCGGTAGTGAGCACGCGAAGCGTGCGAATCACTTAAAGAGCGCGCGAAGCGCGCTCCCTGGGGGGTGGGTGCAGGTGGGTGCAGGTGGGTGCAGGTGGGTGCAGGTGGGTGCAGGGAGGGGGGGAGTTTCGACTCATAATCCTTGTCTGAATTCAGTCCGCCCCTCCTGCTCATAGCGCGGAAGCTTTGAAGTTTCATTATATTATTAGAGAAAGAAGACGACTCGAAGTACCGTTCTCGACTCTTAATCCTTGTCTGAATTAATTCAGATCCCCTCCTCCCTCCTCCTGCGCGAAGCGCGGAAGCTTTGACGTTTCATTAAATTATTAGAGAAAGAGGACGATTCTTTGTTCCGTTCTCGACTCTTAATCCTTAATTTGAACTCAGTTTCCCCCTTTCCACGCGAAGCGCGGAAGCTTTTACGTTTCATTAAATTGTAAGAGAAAGAAGACGATTCGTTGTACCGTTCTCGACTCCTTTTCCCTTTTTCTTCCTACGTCCTCTTACTTTTTTTTCTTCTCCTTCGCTCTCTTTTTTTTTTGGCCGGCGTTTTTTTTTTTGGGGGGGGGGGGGACCGCCCCCACCGCCCCCCTGGCTACCAAGATATGCGTCTTGAGTGATATAAACTTTAATCTAACCTTTGAAATTTGCAATGCCACTACTGATTTATTTTGTTGAAACTTGGAAATTCTCTCTCACACATACTGTCTCCCGAGTACAAGTTTATAGAACAAAGGGTTGTCTTCTGAACCACTTCTATCTTTACGGATGTGGTCCAGGGGCCAACCATAAGGGCCAATGTCCAGATTCTTGGCCAGAGCCAATCCCCGGAGTCTACAACGACGTAGCCTCCAGAAGCTCAAGTTGTTTTTTTACAGCAATTTAGAACCTTTTAGATGGCCGTCACGAGCAATAGAAATTGTAATTTTCGACAGCCTCTCTTTCATCAGGAAAGTATTTTTTTAAATCTCTCTCTCTCTCCTTTTTTCTTTTCGTTTCTTTTACCCTCTTTTCTATCCACTTTATCCCTTTTCTTCCGTCGCGCGCGCTCTCTCTCATGCGCCACTGACCTGTTCCCTTAGGAATGGAGTACCCCTTGACCTCGGCATCCTTGTTGGTGAATCTGGGAAAGCCAAGAGGTGACACCGGTCGGAATCTTTGGACTTCCATGATCGTGGCCATCGTCAGCGGCAATGCTTCTCTGTCCGACATCGACGGTGGCCGATGATCTCCAATGACGCAATCGATCTCGTTTTGCACCTGGAATTTCGTATGGATGATATTGGAAGGATAATACTACACTCTTGTCAATAAGGTTTGAATAATCTTTTCCTATCTCTTTTCATGTTATGACTGTTAAAATATGATTTATTGTTGATAAAGGTTATTATCTTTGCTTATTGCTATGACTCTTCAGATTGATTAATAACGTTACGAGAAAATGTAAACTTTACCAATCAAGGATAAATCTTATTTTCACATATTGTTTTTTTAATATTCCAAAATTGTCCAAAAGGAAAAAATTGTATTACAGAGTATAGAGAGGGGAAATGTTTTAATACTAGTTAGTCAACGAGCAGTAGCAGTTGAGGCGAGGATATAGTTATAAAAGGGATAAAGCATCTGAAGAAACTGAAAATTCAGCTTTACTGACAAAGTGGATCAAGAGTAGCGTCGTATAGATCATAATCATACACATAGATTTCGTTCAAATTTGTGAATTGTTTAAATAATTGCAAATTATCATGTGGTTTTGAATTACTTTAATAGGGACGCATAGAGGATTTAATTCCATGGGATCATTTCTCGTAACCGTCATAAGTCGAACTTCTCGGACATCCCATAGAAACACGTATTACAGAATTATTGATATGCGTTCTTATGGGATGCCCGCGATTTCTGACTTGACAGTTTCGAGGAACTGGCCCCCAGGTCATTAGTTCATAATAATATAGGTCACATTTTCGATCATAATTCTAATACAATTTCGCTTGATATTAAAAGGGATCAGCAGGAATTTCAGTTTAAAATAACTTTACAGCTTCTTAGAAGGCTCCTCGTAAATGATACTCCATCCCCGGAATGGTTTTAAAACAATATAATGCATACATATGAATAGATTTACCTGCTAATATTTAAGTGTTTGTTCAATTGTTTGCGTATCTGGGCCCATTTTGCTAAACTCCCCGGCCCCACAGAAGAGCTGGAGAGGCCTATGCTAAATCTGAATCTAAAGTTATGCGACTCCACACTCATGGTGGAGTAAAACCAGTCGGAATGATTTTCCCATGATCTGATTTTGTTCAAAACTGTTCTCATATCCCAACCCATCACTTATTAACTTATTGGTTATAATTTCTATACGATTAACATCTGTTCATATATATATATTTATGCACCTGCTCCATGGCATCTGGATGTGCCGCCATCAAAAGAATTCCCCACAGCAAGGTAGTACTCGTGGTCCCCGTACCCGCCGCAAACAGGTCAAAGATCCCACGCCACACCCTGGTCTCATCGAACACAATCTCATCTCCACGTTTTTTCTGCTCTCGAATTTCCAAGATGTAGAGATCAATGATATCCCGGATATGCTGGTCATCGAGGGTCTTCCCGTGTTCATCGACCATGCGGGTCACTAGGGTTTTGAGGGAGGAGATGAGATTTCGGAATTTGGAGTATAGGGGCGTGTAGAGGAGAAAAGGGAAAAGTTGTCCCACGGTGAAAAACGAGATGGATGACAGTGCACTGTGAATTCTCGAGATCAAATCGTTGAATTCTGGATCATTCAAATCAAACCTGCGAGGGGGCGTAAGGATACGAAAACGAAAAACTTTAACAGCCCATCCAATTTTTTTTCGACAAGGCTCCAAAAATTCAGCATTAATTTTGTCGACCAAATTTGTTTAATTGGAAATCCCCACCCCATCCACACAAACGCATACCCACCCACACAAACACACCAACCGCAAATGGCGCGTCTGGAGGCAATCCTTACCTTTGTCCAAAAGTTATGCCACAGATGATGCTGGATACAGAGTGGGTGATAAGTCCTTTGGGATTAAAACTGGTTTCTTGGTTATTCTCGATGGTCTCACAAAGCATTTTTGCCTCTTCTATGATCCGTTGCTCCATGCTGTACTTCCCAACACCGAACGTCCTCATCGCACTCAGGCCAAATCGACGCCGGGCCTTCCACACAGGCCCGTTATCAAACGCAAAACTACCTGAAAGAATGCATGATTTAGATCGAAATAGGTGTATTTAGAACAATGTCTAAGGAATTCATTTTGTTTTCTTGCAGCAAATACGTTTATTTATTTTTAGAGAATTCAAAATGAAAAGTAGGCCTACAGCCTACATGTAAATTATTTCGTAAGAAACAAATAGTGACGGTGACGAAGGGTAGATCGATGATTATGATAATAATAATTATAATATCAACAACAAGGACAACAGCTAAAGCGACAACAATACTGCAATGGGTTTCTTATAGAATTTGTTTTTGTCAGACTAGCCGGGCTTTCAAAGTGCTCCGTCATATTACCCATAAAAGGGTGGTTAATTATTGTTTGAAGCTTTTACAATTGTTTTAAGTGTTTAAGTTGAGGTTTTATTTTAACTCAGGCAATGGATGTATCGTTTCTTTAAATTATATATGTTGCCAATCCAAAGCATGTAACTGCTTCTTTACGTCAAGAAAGGAAGTCCAGTGGCCTACCGGGATCTGAATTACACAGGTATTTTCTCAGTAACAACTACTGTTGTTATATTTATAAGAGGTCTTAACGATTTTCATGTATTACTTTGACGATAAATAGACCTGTTTACAAAAAATATAGTTTAATTCAAGCATGTTATTCCCCTGACAAGCGGTTAACAACTAATTGATAAACTTGCTTTACATACAAGCAAAACTATGGATGCATTCATTCATCTGACAGTGAAGCCTCTGGCAGTTTTGTTAGTAAGATATGCATGAAATGAGTAAACAGGTCTATTACATTATAACCATTCTTTTTCCCTCTCTTTACAGCAGATCTGCTTAACAGTTACAAAATATACATATTTCTAGTGAAATACTCCTTGTTATTAATAACAGGTCTTTGGGATGTTCCTGTAATATTTTGACGATAAATCACTGCACTACCTTATCCAAGTTTACCTTACCAGCGGAACCGAGACCTTGTTTGAGCAAAGGGGGCATGTGCCGGTCTGAGAATGCCTCGGCTTGATTCACGAAAGCTTCTTTCACTGCATCAATTTCGCTCATCACCACAGTCCTCTGGGGTCCTACACGGATCGAGAAGACACTACCGTATTTTTCCTTGAGTCCTCGAAAGACTTTGCGGAAGTCTCGGCGGAACATCGGAAGATGGCCGATCAACGGGAGACCCGGTGGCGAAGGAGGCAGCGGAAGCTTCGACTTCCGAGTTTTGGAACCTAGAAGCCATTTCGCCAAAAGGAAGACAGCAAAGCATATCAAGCCGTCTCTCAATCTTTCAACTTTAAATAGTCCCAATTCCATTGTCCAACTACAGATCTTGACTCAGTCAATATCCTATCTTAAAGTTGCTTTGCACCTCACAGTTTAATGTGCTTGCTACAATAGGGAGCTATCACCTCCCTGCTACAATGGAGAAATCCGTGTATGTAAACGTTTATCCGTTTGAAGCGTACCTAATCTAGATTAAAGCTGATTTTGTGAGAGTCTACGCAAATCTAATCTTGCATCCAGGTCCGATCACGAAAGCCTCGATCCACAGTAGCTAAACGCAAACAGCTCATGTCTCACTTCCCATAAACAAACAGAGAGTCCTCGAAGTTTCCGCAACAAATAAAACGGTGTACATGTATTTGTAATAGTGCGACACTAGTGGAACTATTGTGAAGAATATTATGTCTTTTTTCATTGAACAATGACATTGTACGGTTTACTTCCCTTTACGCACGCATAATAGCTAGCTGTGCCTGCCAATAGGTGATAGGTCAAAATCCCAGTCGAACGACAAAGACATAGTTGTATATTCTCTACCGTGTATTGCCTGCCACATATAGGGGGAATGTACGTAATGGTATACGGAGGTAGCTCTCGGTCGTCTGCTATTACCTTTATTTTGACACCTCAACCGTGCGTTTGAAATTTCACTGAATCATTTGGCTCGTCCCGAAATAATGCAGCGGTTGGATGATTGGTAGCGAGTTCCATTAATTCAGGGCCATAGGCTTACATCGTCTCCTCGACTTAGGATAGCCCAAGTCCTATCTTCAACTTTACAAATAAAAGCCAATCCATCGGCAGCGAGAATGTTTATCACATTTAACCCACACCTTACTAGGAGGTTCCTATTTTAACCTGACTGTCCTCTTGTTCTCCCTCCCCTCTCCATTATAGTAACTGTGTTTACACATGGAAGCCTCCTCAGCATCAATTATGTATATAAATTATTACCCATTTACACCTTGGTGGAGAGTGGTAAATGTGGATAAATGTCTTGCCAAAGGACATTAGTGGCGGAATGGGATTCGAACCCTCCACACTAAGATTAAGAGTCAGGTGTATGGACTACTGCCACGACACCTACATGATTTATATTTCTCTCTTTCTCCCTCGCTCTTTCGTAATTTCCCTTTTCTCTCACTCTATTCGAATTTAGAAAAGTTTGCACGATTGAAATGTTGAGTTAATGACTTGGTTGATAGCCTTTGCCCCAATATTAATTGTCATTGCATTATTAAATGAAACTCATGATCCAATCAATTCTTCGTGAATGTTTGAATATGATATTGCTCAACCTAATCCAATCTCAATTTGGCAATTTGGTCAGTAGATTGTGACGTATGAACGGTTAACTCTCCCGTTTGCTGTGTACGACCTACTACAATATCATTACTTAATGGTTATCTCGTAAGCCCCTCCTCCCTTAGGGCACTACTTGAAGTAATTTTGAAATGCCCTGTCGATGTTACACTTTGAAATTTGTATATCTTTTGATAAAAAATACACCCTCACAGCTTATAAAACAACTTCATGCCTCATGTAAACGCATAAACAACAGGTTCATAAATGTAAACAATTATTCATATAATCCGTTATAGACCGTAGATAACATAATCACGAATGTTATCATGGGTTATCAACTCATTGTACGTTGGCCCCAAAAATGACAACACATAATGAGATATAGCTGCATTTCTGTACTAGCGACGAATGCACTAAGTCGGACATGTATATGTACAGTTCACAATTGAACATGGGTTATCAACTCATTGTACGTTGGCCCCAAAAATGACAACACATAATGAGATATAGCTGCATTTCTGTACTAGCGACGAATGCACTGAGTCGGACATGCATATGTGCAGTTCACCACTAAATTAATCATACCCCCTTGCAAATTGCCATTCTTTTTTGTGTATTTCTTATCTCAAGAAGTTGGACTGGTTGAATTAGCTTTGATTTATCACATTATCAAGAAACATAAATCGGGACAAATCATTTTATGTATACAAACTTAAAATATTACAAAATCTGATAAAGGTATGGATAATTTAGTTGTTAACTGTATAATACCTTATAATTCACATTCGATTAGTTATGATGTGGTTTATCAAAGCTACAGAATACTCTGTGTTAAAAAACCTTAATATTTGACAGTTATTTATTTATTAAATATATAACTCATTTCAAACTGAAGTCTATACAACTGACATACTGAAGAGTACTACTTTATTATGGAGCATGTTTTTTATGACATTGTTTAATTACTATTTATAACATGATAATTCGACATTAGAATAAGTTCTTCACTTTAGAAATCCCAGAATCTAGACTCTAGTGTGTCAGTGTCATTGTGTTTCAGTAATCGACGGTATGAGTGATACACATGTGTGTTTCGGATGTTCTGATTCCAAACTCCTATTCGAAGTAGGAGTTTGACATTTAGTATCCGGTGAAATTGAAACCATCGCGCGTATGGGTGTGTATCCACAATCAAAACGTACCATTCATATCTGCCGTATGCAAACTACAGTAAGCTTTAAGAGCTATCATGTTTCAAAAGGGGAAAATTGTTTATCATATACCAGACAAGTACCCCCCAGTGTGTGCGTGTGTGCGCGCGCGCGTGTGCGTGTGCGTGTGTGCGTGTGTGCGCGCGCACGTGTGCGTGTGCGTGTGTGTGTATGTGTGTGTGTATGTGTGTGTGTGTGCGCGCGCGCGTGTGAGTGTGTGTGTGGGTATTTTTCATGCAGATATTCTAAGATCGATTACACTTGATTTGATTTATCAGAAGAAAAGGCCATTAACGCAGTTAAAGAGAAGATTCATTGATTTAAAAAACTAACTTTAATGTCATTATTGTGTAACAGGTCAGAATTGAACTGTTTTATAGTGAAACATATATACCTATTTTTAATCAATATCTCCTCAGGAGGAAAGTAAGAAGTTTATATGTTAACAAACTTTGTACTTCAAAGAAGTATGACTCACACATATTCTGAGTAGAAGCTATCAATTTGGCCAAAACACGACATTCCACAGCTATGAGAGAGTTAATGATGTATGGTCACTTGGTCAAAGGTTAGTAACTCGACCCCCCCCCCCCCTTCCAGAACACTTGTAGTAACTTAGCCAAACAAACCCCAGATTGTAAACATCGGATAAGAACCCCCAAAACAAAAGACTTCCTGTCTCCCTCCCAATAACAAGACCCTTTCCCAGAACAGGTTACGTGTGGTAGCTAGATCACTGTGAGAGTGTAGCTGTTATAAAAGAAGGCAGAGGTATTTGACAGATTCACTCCTGTACTGCACCCCATCCATGGGGCAGGCAGGGAGGTCGACTCTGCAAGCTTTTGGTGTAACATGTCATTATATAGGTAAGAAGATTATTCTTTTGTTAAGTTGGATAATTATTGAGATAATTAGTACTTTTGTAGATGTATTCTGATGTTAGTTAATAACCTTGGTATCGTTATGAACGATAAGTTGTGCTGAATTAATATGCATTAAAGGTGTGGCATATTATTTGTTTAATCATCAGTAGGTTGATTTCGTTAGTGCATTAAACACTAGTTTACGATTTGGTAATAGTAATTTAAGATGATTTGTATATTACTATGTTATCCATTACTTGTAATCTTTAGGAGTTTTAGTTATAATGTGTTGTTGAGGTTAACTCTGGATAATCGTATTTTGCAAGACAGTTGTATTTTAAAGTAATGTTTTAAGAGTTAACAGTTAACGGATACAATCTGAACCTTCTTCAGTTTGGTGTTTTAGAGTCAAATTTACAATGATTTGTATTAATTATTATTCCTTCAGGTGTTGACAAATTACAATCAACATGTAAGAAGCGGGAACGAGAGGAAACGGTCCTCTAGGCCAGATTGCCAGGGTGAGTGGGTTATCATATTCAATGTATAAACCACTAATTCAATGTAGTTTTAATTGGGAATTATGTTTGATTGTTTGACAAAGTTCACTTGATGGTTGTATTCATTTATTTGTTGGGAAAGTTATCCATAAAGATGGAAGAACTTTATTGATTAGAAACTTGTTATTTTCATGCAATATTGATTAAGTTTTAATGAATGGAATATAAACAACCTGTTTATCATTTATTATCATGAGTCGGCTTGACGTCATATTGTTGGAATTCGTATCTTAGAGTCATTAACGAATATTATGTTTTTCGCTATTATGTGTGTTTTTCAAACATGTCCTCATTTTTATTTAATTGTTTTAACTTTGTTTATTTGTCCAGGCTTTAGCTTTGGCTTTAGCTTACTTTAGCTTTGTTCACTTTGCACCTGAAATAAAAAGAACCGCAACACAACGAATGGTGTGATATAGTATTTTCTACCAGTTTCCGCGTGTGATCGGCGATGTTACAAATGGCGTAATCGGCAGGATTTCAGCAAGTGCAAGCCCTGGCTTTCTGTGGAGCTTCTACATCTGTGGGACAACTCGATCGGACTCAGATGTCTAGAAACGTGTAAATATTGACGTAGATTTAAGTTGTAGCGATTGTGTGTATTGTATGAATGTTTGTTGCTAAGCTAGTGTGAAGTTTAGTAAGGAGCTACATTGTGTTTGTTTAGGGGAAATTAAGGAGTAATGCTATTCATATGTTGTTCAGACTGTCATGATAATACTGTGTTTGGAACAGTCCATACCCCCTTTCGTATTTAATTTCGGCTGGTTGGATGGAGCCTCATACATAAGGGATGGCATACAAAGACACCGGTATTTTATAATATTGATAGGAGGGATAACAGTACATGTAGGTGTAGAGCAAGTATGAAGCTTTAGCTTTATCACGTATGAATAGTTGGAATATTCTTTATTTGAACTTGTAAATTGTTGAGATTTTAAGTTGGTTTTGGGATTCGTTAAAGTTTTGGTATTTTAAGGATAAGTTAGGTTTAGGTTGTACTTCATGTATATTACATTTATTGAATTGATATGCATGGTGGATATATTTTTTAGTTTAGAGACTGCTTTTGAAAAAGCAGGGGAGCCCATGAACGTGAAATGTTGTTTCAGTTTGGGTCAGCAATTGTTCGGAGTAACTATGTGCGTGTGTTGTGTAATGGATATTGTATTGTTTTACTGAGATTTCTGGAATGTAACTGGGTTTTGGCTGGAATTACTGTTGGACTTAGCCTGGATAGTGTATTTAGTGTTTATTCCGAAAACCTCGACATGAGACCGGAATCATTCATGGAAGAAATACTGGGGCGACTTTTAGGAACAGTAGGGTTTATCTCTCTATCTTTGTTTTTCTGTTAACCTCGTAGAGAGGCCGGAAAGGGCACATTGGTAGCGGAGAGGATTAGCCATAAGTTATAAGATTTCTTTGTATATTGCAATGTCGAATTTTTGTATCTTAATTAGGAGTTTATTAAGATGTGAAAGGAATATCCATAGGGCAAGGTTGTTACGAAATATAGTTGACAGTTTTACTGCTGTATTTGCTAGCGTGTGTAAATTAGGTACTATAAGGATGATTATTGTTTTTGTGTGTTTAGAATGACACAGGGTAGAATAATTGGGTATACCGTGAAAGTCATCTGGCTTGTTTGAAATGTCTGGGATATGAAGATTTGTGTTGATAACTAAGGTTTGGCAGTAGAGACTCTGGAACTGTTATGATCAGTTGGGTAGTACTTAGATAATTTGTAAATGCTAGGAGCCTCGACATGAGACCAGTTTTACATAATAAGGAGTGCTAGAATGACTGAAACAGATGAGTTTTGGCACTAGGTATGTTTTCTGTGATTCTCGTCATGAGACCAGAAAGTTCGTATTAGTGGTGCGGGTTGGCCAATAACGTGTTATGATTTCAATTTTTATGTTCTGTATTATGCAAAAATAGTTTTAATCACATGGTTAATTTTGATTTGCATATTGGTAATTAGGCATCGGTATTAGGATCGGGAAACAGCCACGATGGAGATAAGGTATAGTGGGAATTTAATATAATTTTTGTTGTAGTATGAGTGTCGGGACGACACGCAATTAAGCAGGGGAGTGTGTAACAGGTCAGAATTGAACTGTTTTATAGTGAAACATATATACCTATTTTTAATCAATATCTCCTCAGGAGGAAAGTAAGAAGTTTATATGTTAACAAACTTTGTACTTCAAAGAAGTATGACTCACACATATTCTGAGTAGAAGCTATCAATTTGGCCAAAACACGACATTCCACAGCTATGAGAGAGTTAATGATGTATGGTCACTTGGTCAAAGGTTAGTAACTCGACCCCCCCCCCCTTCCAGAACACTTGTAGTAACTTAGCCAAACAAACCCCAGATTGTAAACATCGGATAAGAACCCCCAAAACAAAAGACTTCCTGTCTCCCTCCCAATAACAAGACCCTTTCCCAGAACAGGTTACGTGTGGTAGCTAGATCACTGTGAGAGTGTAGCTGTTATAAAAGAAGGCAGAGGTATTTGACAGATTCACTCCTGTACTGCACCCCATCCATGGGGCAGGCAGGGAGGTCGACTCTGCAAGCTTTTGGTGTAACATGTCATTATATAGGTAAGAAGATTATTCTTTTGTTAAGTTGGATAATTATTGAGATAATTAGTACTTTTGTAGATGTATTCTGATGTTAGTTAATAACCTTGGTATCGTTATGAACGATAAGTTGTGCTGAATTAATATGCATTAAAGGTGTGGCATATTATTTGTTTAATCATCAGTAGGTTGATTTCGTTAGTGCATTAAACACTAGTTTACGATTTGGTAATAGTAATTTAAGATGATTTGTATATTACTATGTTATCCATTACTTGTAATCTTTAGGAGTTTTAGTTATAATGTGTTGTTGAGGTTAACTCTGGATAATCGTATTTTGCAAGACAGTTGTATTTTAAAGTAATGTTTTAAGAGTTAACAGTTAACGGATACAATCTGAACCTTCTTCAGTTTGGTGTTTTAGAGTCAAATTTACAATGATTTGTATTAATTATTATTCCTTCAGGTGTTGACAAATTACAATCAACATGTAAGAAGCGGGAACGAGAGGAAACGGTCCTCTAGGCCAGATTGCCAGGGTGAGTGGGTTATCATATTCAATGTATAAACCACTAATTCAATGTAGTTTTAATTGGGAATTATGTTTGATTGTTTGACAAAGTTCACTTGATGGTTGTATTCATTTATTTGTTGGGAAAGTTATCCATAAAGATGGAAGAACTTTATTGATTAGAAACTTGTTATTTTCATGCAATATTGATTAAGTTTTAATGAATGGAATATAAACAACCTGTTTATCATTTATTATCATGAGTCGGCTTGACGTCATATTGTTGGAATTCGTATCTTAGAGTCATTAACGAATATTATGTTTTTCGCTATTATGTGTGTTTTTCAAACATGTCCTCATTTTTATTTAATTGTTTTAACTTTGTTTATTTGTCCAGGCTTTAGCTTTGGCTTTAGCTTACTTTAGCTTTGTTCACTTTGCACCTGAAATAAAAAGAACCGCAACACAACGAATGGTGTGATATAGTATTTTCTACCAGTTTCCGCGTGTGATCGGCGATGTTACAATTGCAAAGGTGACACTCTTGATTGGCCAAGGTTATCAAAAGCCAATGCTTAGACAACATTCAAAGTAATGATTATTAACAATTACAAAACGCTTAGATACAGCCCCGACATAGCACCTGAAAAGCTCTCCGGTCGCTGCTGAGATATGACGTCACATGATGAACATGATGTGCACAAGCAGACGATGTCCCATGACATCTCACACAATTTCACTGCCTGTTTTGTCATCTTTTCTTCAGTTATTTCTCTTACTTCAATACCCTCAGGCGAAATGTTTAATCTATTGCCTCACTCTAAACCCCGTGCATGGTATTATTTGGATGAAAAATGCAAGGAAAAAAGAAGAAAAAGGAATCTTTCGCTTGTAAACAAAATAGGACGCCATTGTATTTTCAGCTGCATACACCGCGGCATGTTCGGCGTTTCAAGAGGGAACAAATGACGTCCATGCTATCATTCCGGAGGTTTTTTAATTTGAAAGTGTGGTTTCTTTGATTGTTCATTACCCCCTATCCTGTGTATTTACAAACAAAAGAATTTAGATTTCAGAATGGGGGTCATATCCCTTTTTGAATGATGTAAAATTCCATCACATTTATATACACTAAACTCATTATAATTTGAGAAATAAAAGCATTGCAATTATGTTCATTCTTTATGGGGTGTCGTCTGCTTGGGCAGGGTTGGTTCATATTGTGACGGCATTAAAACATCGTTATTTTTCCGGCGAATCTCTCGCATATCCCAGATGCTATAGAGGTTGTTTTATTTGTATTTTTATAAATCACCCGATATGTAGTTGAACTAAAATTTGCACGATGGCCATCTGTTAGCTTACCAGTTTCTAGTAATACGCTATTTGCCATATTTGTGATTTTCTATGAATCCGCACTTTAAGTTTAATGTCAGTGACAAATTCAGCACTAGATGGAGCCAGCGCACGCCCCTTGTTTTGTACTTTATGGGTGAAAATGAAACGAGCGTTTCAAGAGAGTAGAGCTCTTATTTTTATGGGAACATGTAAACAGTCGTAACTTGTTCCATAAATTGTCTCATTACCTTCGTCTCTTGAATTGGTCCATGGACTTTTGCTCAATAAAATGTAATGGCTTTCCAATAAATGTAACAATTCATTCAAGTGCTAATAGGCTAAAGTGAACATATATATTCTACCTTTTTATTTTATATTGTTTAAAGAAAAGAATTTTACGATTATGCTGGCGTCTCAAACACACATTCACACACGCCCACACTTTATTTATTATTATTATTGTCTCTAGCGCTTAGAGATTTCAGTGGTAAGTGCTTTATAAGTAACGTTTAATAAATACAAAATATAAATAACCCCAGACATAGACACAATCTCTTAGAATTTGTCGATTAATTCTATTAGTGCTTCACTCGGTATTCTTAATCCTTGAAGTCAGGATGTGTCTCTTCAGTGTACGTATTTTCATGAGGAAGCCTTTATTGTGTACACAATAAGCGGATTTTATCAATTCGGAAATTTCCGGCGATCCGTCTAGTGACCTGGCGACATTTAATCCGGGATTTAATGCGTCCGAGAAATAGGGCTAGGGTTAGGGTTGCAATCAGGTTAAAGGTTAGGGTTAGATTATTGGATATCACTGTTGGTCCAGGGTGGACGTTAGGAATTCGGTTAGTTTAAGTTATTGACTGTGACACAATATTGTCATCGGAACAGTTTTCTAATAACCGATATTTTGGGCATAATGTTATATTTAAGGAGATAAAAGGGAGGTCTTCTTGTTTTAATCAATCCATTTAAATATCAGCGTCTTTTGTATCGAATGCAATGTTTGATAAAAAAAACTTGTTTCATCAAAATAACCTTTAAAAATTCTGGTTCATTTATTAAATATTTCAGCATGTATTTATCTTTTTGTCCAGTTTTTGTATAACACACGACTCTATGTACGGTGTCCCTACATTGCCTCTCCCCGAAAATCTAGATTTTAATTCATAGTTTTGTCTAAGTATCCCTAATTTGAGCAGTAACAACATGCAGGAAGGATATATACAGAAAGAAAGTAAAATACATGATCATAGATTATATTCTCAATAAATAAAATAAATAAAAGACATCATTTAAAGTAAATAATGACAATTTTGACTGGCTTCTTGGGGAATGTATTTTTGGGTTCGGTTTATTTTCTTGTATTGAAATGTTAAGATCTTGTTCAATCTGTTTTCTAGATCAGAATCTTCTACCCAATTGTGCTTACTGTGATAATTGGAACCGGTTTACCAGGTAGGTCTTTATCATTCTTATTTTTCTCTCAGTTTTATTGACTGCTTAATATCGATCGGTCTTTACCTCTGCTGTTATAATATTAGGAATATCTTTATTCATAAAATTTTGAATTGAAATGTTGAACTAAATTTACCAAACGGATTGCCGAAAATATCTTAAAACAAGTAGAAAGACCCATGTGTCACTTCATGTTCAAAGGGGGTAACACGTGACCTCCTTTTTGCAAAATCTGTAACAATCACATACAAACACAATTTCAAGATGAAGTGATTTAAACGGTTAAATATTTATCTTTTAGGATAGAAAAATTGAAGCTTTTTGTCTGACTTGCACTCATTGGAATAACTGATTATTGCACGATTTTGGAGTACTAATAATCTCTTAACCACTGTTAAGCAAAAAATTATGCTTTTTATTTTCAGAGCCCCCACCCCCCCCCTCCTTTTTTTTGTTTTCAATGTATTGATAAACATGTTAACCGTTCTAGGTAATATAATTGTCATTAATATCCACTGTGTACGTTTAAAATCAAAGTCAAGTAGCGGATGCAACATTTTTTCAAACAGAGTAGGTGGGCATTATTTTGTCTCTCATATCGCCAAGAAACAAAATAATCGGTATTCTACTCTTTTCACCATAGTTTGTTCTTGGCCAATTCTTACCGCGGTGCTCCTCCTTTTCCCTCTTTTTTTCTTTCTCTCTCTCTCTGTCTCTCCACAGGTGTATATGCCCAGTCATGTTACGAAAGACTTGATGATGCGTCAACGAGATTTTTTCGACTCCGATGTCAAAGAAATCTCCTTAGCAACGACTCGCTTATCGCGTCTGAGCGCGACCTAGCACCATGGATTCCCATAGGGTGTGGAATGAGAAACAGAAGACAGCACAACATTTGCAGCGTTCTCGGTAAATACAGAATCAAATATGTCTGAAAAATCAACAGATTTACCCATTTAAGAGCTGGATGTATAGCAATCTATTTACTTTAAATAAAATATTGATTATGGCCCGGTCACACCATGACGTTTTAGAGAAACTTATAGCTAGCGTATGAAAAATCATGAAATAATGTCAAAACGTCGGCTTATGCCCCCCAAATAATCAAAAATTCTGCAGCATGAATAATTTAGGCGTATGCATAACGTATTAAACGTATACATATCGTATACCTATCACTAACTTATGACCGCGTATGACAACGAATAAAAGCGTGTGGCCATCGCATGTCCAGCGTTCTCGACCTATGCCCAACGTACATGTACGAGTAGCTTATGAGAAAACTATGCGCAGCGCGCTCGATGTGTTGCCGAAGATCACGTGTAAATTTCCTGTTTTCATATTTGAAAATTAAGATTAATTATGAATAGAAGAACTTACTTCTAAATAACTTCAATACATTGCTTTACATGCTTACAATTTGAAAAACACTACTACGCCACTTGTACGGTAGAAACACGTTCAATGTTAAAGGTACGTCGAATACGTCTGAATACGTCAATATGCGTTGCAAATACGTCAGATATAGGTTATATATAGGCTAGAAGTAAGTTACTCATATCAATAAGTTAGCTGTACGGTATACCTTCATGCCAACGCATGTCGACGTATGAGTTACCTACCTCTAACGTATTTAACGTGTGTCTAGCGTATGTGTAACATATGCCTAACCTATGCCTAACCTATGAAGAGGACGTCGGCATACGCCCAAAAATTGATTTCGGCCTCTGCGTACAACAACGTTTGCCGGCTTATACCAGCGTGCATTTAACGTATACAATTTATACTAAACCTACCCCTAACTTATGTCAACTTGCACTTTATATAGGCTGGCATACGTTACTGCTATACGTTCGGGGTGACCGGGTCATTAGAGAGAAGTACTTCTTCCAGTGCCGGGTGCACTACTCAGAAAACATTCTGGAAAAAAAAACAAAATAAAGAGTTATGATCACATGTTACTTACTTTCTTCACAGAAAAAAATATTCTAATCCAAGTGCCATTGGGGCATAAAATGGCTACCGGGGAACCATTCAGGGGAGTATTTCTTGTTTTGTGTTCAATATAAACGTAATACTTGGCTTCGCCCTCATTTTGCCAATGTCTTTCCTGTCATTTCATTTTTTTTAAAAATAACGATTCCTTATTTTCAGCGACGGAGAAACCGCAACCATATGAAGCTCAGCCATCTACAGTGCCCCCAACAGCATCAACGCCACCTTTAGATGACAGAGACTGTCATGGTTCTCTTGCTCGGAGCGGTAACTTCACAGGTAATCAAAGTCATGTGTTTAATGGGCAAGTCAAAGGCGTATCCAGGTATGGACCTCAGGAGGGACAAGCGAGGAAACAATGGAGGGGCGGATATCAACCCGACCCCAAAAATATTTAGGGGAAGAAAGGGGGAGGGAACTGGTGGATTGGAAATTTTAAATATAGGATTTCCCGGCGAAATTCGCGAGTTTGTCATTCGAATTCATTTACTTTGCATTTAAGTTAGCGCAGATCGGCTTTGCCATGCCAATTATCATTCAATTTTCCCGTTTTGGTATTCAATTTTGAATTTTGGTCGAAGGGTTTCATAGATCTGTCATTTAATTTAGAAAATGCTCAACTAGCATTGAAATTAACCGTCACTTGTCGAGGCGTCATTTTTATCATTCAAATTA